GTGGTTTTGTTTTTTTTGGTGGGGCTTCTCACCTCTGGGTTTTTGGGCCCAAAAACACCTGCGGAAGGTGCAGGGCTTTGGCTGATCAAGAAGGCCCTTCGGGGGGGGGGCTGGTGTGACCGGCATTTTTGTGCAGGTTCACTACATGTGGTTGGCAGGATCTCTGACCATATGATCTTGAGTTGGCAAGGGCTGCGCTGGTTTCGGTGGCCGCCCAAACGGGCACAAGCCTTTGAAGGCAGGTGGCAACTATCCAGGGACCGACTCGAGTCGTTTCCCTTTCTCGTGGGTAAGGCTCAGCGGGCGATTTCTTTGGGTGGAACTTGATTCAGCAACTCGCACGGGTTCGTTTCGGAGGGAAGCTCACAAGACTAACAATTAGATTCAAGGAGCCTGCTCAACACCCCTAGAGGGCGGATCGTCAATCGTGTATCCATATTCCGTCTGCCAAAAGTTGATGTTCAAAGCCACAGAAAGGGGACATATACTTGCTGGTGCTCAGAAAGGAATGAGTTGGACTGCCCCCAACAAGCCATCCTTTATGGTTTCCGGGAACCCCTTCCTGTTGATTCCCAACACCCGGGCGTGTTGTCATTCCCTCCCTATCGCACCGATCGCAAGCATAGGGAGGTGGTGACCAGGGTCGTGTTTTTGCCCAGCGGGGGTTTTGAGGCGATCCTGAAGCTGACGGGCGCCTGGGGCGCCTTGCGCGAAGCTCAGGGGCCATCAGGCTAGCTGATGACTGAAGGCATCTCCCCCCCTCCCCCCCCTCACCGCATCTCATGCCCAGATGGAACGTAACCTCACTTTGTGAGTTGCCGGACTTATCAGCTTTTTGGGCATGGAGCATTTTGGCCAGCTTGGCCTTTTGGCCCATCTCAGGAAGAGTGTAGGGGGAATGCCTGGCTACCCGGGTCAGGATGCAGCAGGGCCTGTGGTGTGAAGCGAACAAACAAAGATTGCGACATGGACTACACTCCCTCAGACTAACCGGAAGCTCCCGGAAGGCGTCCATGGAACCAAGTCTTCCAAAAAAGGTAAGCATCCATGGCATGCCACCCTGGCCACCTCCCCCTCCCCTCCCCTCCCCTCCCCCCCCCCCCGAGTATTGTCTCGCAATGCCAAGGGCCAACGCCGCGCACGAGCCAGGCGCGGACATGGCTAGGGATGGCCTTTGTCTCCTATGGCATGGGGGATGTTCAAGAATATCTTGGCGGCTCTCAGCCATCCGGTCTTAGCTTTTTGGCTGTTCTTAGGGTCACCAAAAGTTAGTCACTTTGAGCAGGGGATCTGAGGGCAGCGCAGGGTGGTTTCTCTCTGCCTTGTCTTTGTGTTCCAGCCAAAGAGGCAGACTCCAAATTTTGAGCGTCCCTTTGCACGGCCGTGTGAGGAGTTGCGCAGCATCCCGAGGGTTTTAAATCAACCATTATCAACCCACTTGGTCCCAAGACGAATCCAACAAGGCTTGTGCCAACTAGCTAAAGAATTAAAATGGGTTCCAGCCCTAAAATTCACGGACCGTCGGATGGTGGCTGATGTCAGTGAATTAAAACCAGTTTTAAGAATAATAAACACTTGTTTCCAGTCTCTACCCCACTTCGCCCACAATGTTTGACTTATAACGGGAAGGCAAGAGAAGGGCTGAACATTTTGCTTTGACTTCCCAGAAGCCCTTTTGGTTCCTATCCATGGTGGCCATGTTGTGGCACCATTCCGTTTTTTTGTTTTTTAAAGGTGTGACTCCATACAATTGCGGACATAGTTTGGTCAATTCGGCTTGCAAAAGGATCCCTAGTGTTAGCACCACTCTTGCGAGCAATGAGCAATACTACAAGATCGTCCGGATCGGATACTGGGCATCCATCCGTCCGTCTCCCCACCCACAAAGGAAACGGCATTTACTTCCTTTCCAATTTGGCCGCCGCCCAAGTTGTCCACTGAAGCTATGGGTATAAACTCTATTATTTCCAACATAAACCCCACCCAAGGACAAATTCTTAACAACGATCCGCAATCAACCCAAGATTCGCAGGGAGGCATAAAGCACAATCATCGGAATTAAGGTCTTGTAGTTTGGCATGTTCATCGGAAAACACCACTGATCAGAAGACAACGCAAACACCTGATTTGTGATGAATCCAGGATAGGATTCATCGGACAGCGAGGTGGTTCAGGACATCACTCTGCCACAAAGGGGCACCTGTGGCTGAGGCCCCTACTTTGTGATGAATCAGGGGTGGGATTCAGCGGAAACCAGGGTTTGTTTTCACCAACCGTTTCCTGATGGATTTTAAGTTCCGGTAGGGGTACTTTGTGATGAATGCTGTTCCACTGTTTCTGTTTCTGGCATCAACACGTGATTTCTGATGGATCAGGGGTAGGATCCGTCGGAAAATCAAGAAAATCGAAGGAAACCGCGGATTACTGACAGAATTCAAGGCAGCCATTGGGCGTCTGCAAAGCAATGTTTGCTGATAAGATGTGCAGTTTCCTTTACATACTTGTCCCTTAGATTCAAGATGGGAAATCCCAAGGAACGTTACATGTTCGCGGAAAAAGCATGACTGTCTTCGGGAAGAAAACCAAAGGTCAAGGGCGGACACGCAAACAAGCAGGTCAAACCAAGTCGGGGAAACACAAGCCACACTGGACGAAAGGTGCACCGATTCAAACTGGTGCACCGATTAGCCTGAAAATGTGTTTTATGTATTTCTTTCTTTCTGTCTTTCTTTCTTTCTTTCTTTCTTTCTGTCTTTGTTTGCTTCTTTGGTTGCTTATCCCACCCACCCACCCACCCACCCACCCGCCCAGCCACCCACCCAGCCAACCAGCCAGCCACCCACCCATCCACCAGTCCATCCATGGATGGACGGGAGGGAGGGAGGCAGGGAGGGATGGATGGATGGGGCGGGCGGGTGGACTGGATTGGATGGGATGGGATGGAATGGAATGTGCAAATTTCGGAATGTACATGTGTTAACATGCTCATTCACATGCCAAGTGTCGGTTGTCTGCAGACTAAGCAGGCAGTTTCCTGAACGCAGTTGTTTCGTATTACTGCAATGGACAAACACCGCTAGGGAATCGGTTTTGGCCATTCCTTTGCTCCATCGATTTGTGGCAATACTTTGGGGTATTTCTATGCACCTAGTCTTTCAGCATGGAAGCCAACAGTGGCGTTGGAAGAACCTCTTGTTGAAAAGGCCCACTGTCCACCCACATTTGAACACCCATTTGGCTCATGTTCGACAAACACGTCCAGGAGTCTATGGTCAATTTGGTTGAGACATGAGGGAACTCAACGGATTTCCCACAATCAGGTGGGCGTTTCTCCAAGTAGGGCTCGCCCAAGACATGTTGGTATGGTGTTGGTTTCCCTTTAGGTATCAACTTAAGGAGACTTAGCACTTTGAGACCAGCCGTGCCCACCCTATAAGCCCTAATCCCACCCTGAGCCCACCCTAAGCCCACCCTAAGCCCACCCTAAGCCCACCCTAAGCCCACCCCAAGCCCAACCATGTTGGACCGACCAGGCGCCGAGCCCGAGGCGGGGGGAATCGCAGCCTCGATCAAAGGGTTTGGCACAGGAAAATCTACAGGATATGGCCCCAAAACATCCTGAATGAGCTGATTTCTTCCCTGAACAGCTTCCTGCAACCCAACCCTTTGACCCTGGTTGGTTGAAAAGAAGGACAGCTGGAGAAACTGCCCCCACAGATAGAATCCATGGACCAAATCCACAAAATGCATCAGTTGAGATGATAAAACCCGGGAAGGATTGGGATAAACCACCTAAGGAGGGGTAAAGGATTTTGTCCATCCACAGTAGGCTAGTCGCCTTATTGCCATGGTTGTAACCTACTAAATTGGTTGAACAGCCGGGGCCAGTGCTGGAGCTGTTGGGGTGGGCGCAACTGACTTATCACGTTTCAACAAGGAGGCGGGAAAATGGGTGCGGTCAGCTGGACTACTTGCCACATGCTGCCATGACACGAGCTCCAAGCAAACCAGCTTGGACTGTCCTGATGCAAAGTCGATGACGTTTGTGAAGCTCCTGCTGTCGACCTGCAATTCAGTTAGAATGCCCGTACCAATAAGCGACGTCCGTGTTTCAGATCGATGCTTTGTCTTACTGAAATAACGGTTAAGATGATCGCGCCGATAGGGTTGTGCCCCCCGGATACTATCAGAGCCCCTAATTTTTGAGCTTTGACACAGGGAAACCGAGGTGTTTCTGTTGTAGTTACCCTTGGTCCATCTACACGGGCACCTGGGTGCATTGTTAAAAAAAGAACATGGCTCCATGTTTCTGGGGTCGTTATTTTGACTCTTTCTCAAAGTCAGGATATGGGGCTGTTTCCCTTTAGCCTACAACTAAGGAGTGATTTGGATGGTAAAATGCTGGAGCCGATCAAAACTGCCATCCTTTTGCAGAGGAACCCAAGGACTGAAGGCTTTGTGCTTTTTTCCATGGGGCTGCCTTCTGGAAAACGATTTGGGTGCAACTTGTAGCTGTTCTTGTTCACTTTTAGTCGCTTTTTGGGTTTGGGTGGCATGGCCAGTCCACTCGATCGGACGCGAGGGTTCTTCGGTGGTCCTTCTTTTGTAAATACTCTTTTGCTACGGCACATGCTATGGCTGTCAGGGGCTCAAAGAGTCGGACCCCAAGAGGAGCCCTATTAGCCCTTGGGCCCTAGTCCATATCAGTCAGCGGTGCGGTCCTATTGGAGGGGCGCTTGGCAACCATAGGACACAGATGCCCAGTGGATCCAAAACACGTCCAGGGCTGATCTTGCCAGGCACCCGCGCATTTGCGTGAGAGACACGCTGGGGGCCCAAACATCGGCAAAAATCGGATGCCCCAAAAAGAAGTCACACTTGACGAATTCAAGGTAGGCAACCCAGCGCTCCTAGGCCCCCCAGCGCACTAGGTTCAAGTTCCACGTCTCGGGGTAAAAGTGGAACCCTGGCCCTACATTGGGTGGCTCGTTTTTATTTTTTTGTGGTGTACCCTTCTTGGGGTTGGTCTAAAGGGAAGCCAAAGGAACACAGCCATCTTGAAGGGCCCCTCAAAAAGGCATTAATATATTGCAACGAGGGGTTCCTCCGAAATTGCAACTGGGGTCTCCTCAAAAAGAAACTCGGTTTAGGGCCGACTAAGTATGACGCAGAGCAAGATCACATCATTTTCTGTAGGCTCCAGATGTGGACCGCAAGTAATTGAGGCAATGCAATGTTCCAAGATTTCCAGCGGCTTTGTGGTTGAGTATGGCTTAGTTGCAATGCTTAGGGCACCCACCGTCCCTCTTGAATTTAGGCAAGAAAGTTGTAAAGTGAAAGTTATATGGGCCTGAAGGGTTTTTCACTTTTGGGCTACTTTGGGCACGTTGAAGTGATGAGCGCAACCCCGATCTGTGCAAAGAGGAGGTCCACAAAGGGGCGCTTTCATACGGAAACACATTCTCTGGGCATTTTGTTTGCAAAAATGCTTTTCCGGGAGAGGGGGGGAGGCATGATGATTTCCAGGGGTGGGGTTGCGTGCAGTTAGATGTCAGGAAGAGAATGACCGGCCCCAGCAAGCCTCGGGCTGCCTTTGAAAAATCCGATGGCAAGTAACCAGGATCTAGGATTGCCAGGCATTTTCAGGTATCGTTTGTGGGATGGATGCGACTGGGTTTGTATTGGTACTGTCAGACCCCAACACCTCGTAATCAGGGGGAAGCTTGTGAGTGAATTCTCTCTCCGAACCTAGGACATGCGGATGTGTGTGCCGCCGGCTCGATGAGTCGTCGCTGGGCTTTCGAGAGGGCGCAGCGAGAGAGAGAGAGAGAGAGAGAGAGAGAGAGAGAGAGAGAGAGAGAGAGAGAGAGAGAGAGAGAGAGAGAGAGAGAGAGAGAGGGGGGAGGTGAGAAATCAGCGAGAGGTGTGTTGTTGTGGTTTCATCGGATCAGCCTCTCCTTTAGATTGGTGGTTTGGATTGGTGGTTTGAAGCCAAATTAAATGGAGAGATTCCAAACCTAACGTGCCAACCACCAAGCCAAGCCAGACCGGTATCTGCCATATTTTTTGGCGAGCTTAGGCGAGCTCGTCATGGTGAAGGCCCTTTACGCCTTATTTGCAAAGGGCATATCTTTCTAAGGGCTCCCGTCACCAGTACAGTGGGCAACTTACGAAGGGGGAACTACCTATGCCATGTTTAGAGTTTGGCAGGCATTGGGTGAACATGTATCATCAATTGTTATGTGTCTGACATTTTGGCTCAAGTACGAGCCAAACTGGCAGACACCCCCCTTTTTTAAATTTCCAGACATGTACTAGAGTGGGACTCTGGTATGTCGGATGCAGATGAAGGGATGGTGGTGGTCCACACTAGAGCGCGCATGCTCCACCCTCGAAGTCCCTCCTCGACTTCGAGGCACACATGGCAGGACTGGTTACCCGTGAGGAACGGGGCCAAGCCGTGCGGCTTTGGAGGTCGGTGGTGGTGGTGGTGGTGGTGGTGGTGGTGCAGTACCCCCCCCCCCCCCCCGGAGGGATCCGTCTTTCGAATCCTCAATATTGGGAACTTGCGGGAGGTTGCTTGTGTGGCCACCGGTTGTGAAAGATGCGAGCAACAGCGTGGTGGCTCGGGACATGGACCCACAGTGCTATCTTGGTTCAAGATGGAGTGGGGCCGCCAGAGGCTCTGGGATCAGTACTATGTGTGCCGCGTGCGCATGGAGGTGGAGCAGGTGCGGGCCCTTGACTTCATGGAGGCGCGGCCGGAGGTGGTCGACATCGACGTGTTCCTGCACGAGGGCACGGCGGCGGCCCGAGCTTCCCGAAGCAAGCGAGGGTGGACCTGGCGCGGACAGGCGCGTCGGGCATGCTGGCCAGCACAGGATGGTGGGGGCGGTCGCGAAGCTCACTCATCATGAATCCTGGGAGCTCGTGCCCCCGGCGGACCTGCAGGAGGCGGCAAGTGCAGGCCAGGCGGCCACGACACAGGCCAAGGCGAGTTGCAGAAGCGGTTCGCCCTCACACAATCGCCAAGGGCAAAGCCGAGGCTGCACGACCTGCTGTGACCATGCCGGCGTCGGTCAATGGCAAGGCGCTGACCGCGGTGATGCGGGACGTGCCCGGGCTTCCAGCTGCAGACTTGCCGGGATGTGGCGACATGCGGCTTTGCGCACCTCCGCGTGCCTTCGCCTGACAGGACGCGCCTGTGGAGGCCGGCACGCTGCAATGGTGTGCAGGGAACAGGTTGAGGTGGCGGAGGTAGCCGAACCTGCTCGACCATAAACAGGCCATGATCCGTATCCCCGTGCGTAGAGTGCCGTGGCCGTATCCGTGGCGCTGTGGCCGTGGCCGTAGCGTGCCCGCCGTGGCCTGTTCCTTTGTCACCCCCTTCAGCCCCCAACCCGACCTTGTGGAGGGTTGGAGGGTTGAAAGGCTAAGAGAGGTGGGGGTCGGAGGGTTGGAGGTGGAGGGTTGGAGGGCTGGCAGGCTAAGAGAGGTGGGGGTCGAGGGTTGGAGGGTTGGAGAGGTGGAAGGCTAAGAGAGGTGGGGAAGGCTAAGAGAGGTGGGGGTCGGCATGCCTGACGGTGGGAAATTAAGGGTTCTCCTGCGAATTTCCGGGAACTTTCCCGCCCCAACCTCTCCGACCTTCCGGTCTTCAGCCAGCTCAGCAAAGGCAGAGCTGAGTAAGCTGGCCAATAATTAGTGTGCCTGGCGAACCGTTGTGAGGGGTTGCAGCAGAAACTAGAAGCTGGGGCTGGGGCTGGGGCACGCCGAGCAGGGCGATTTCGGCCGTGTGACATAGGCTGTGGAGGGCGAGGGGTGTGGCTGGGTTTGATTATTGGTGGATTTGATTCCGTGGCCGTAGCGTGGCCGTATCCGTGGCGCCGTGGCCGTGGCCGTAGCGCCATTTTGGATCCAGCTCGCTCCACTCCTTTGTCTCCCACCCTCCCAGCCCTTCCTGGATGCGACCTGTCTCGCTGCCAGAGAAAAGAAGGGAGCGAGCGAAAGAAGCGAGCGTGTGGGAGTGTCACCAGTCAAGAATATCCACCCACTAGTTTTGTTTGCGAGGGATTTCAGGACAGACTAGAAACTCCAAAAGCCGCGGGGGGCGGAGCAGTCTTTCGCTGGCCGCCTCGCGTTTCGTCGGGCGGAAGCTAAGGAATCAGCTTGCAGAAGGCGAGGCCATGCTGTCAGCGTTGGCTGTTTCCCCAGGTCTTTCTCCGTCGGGTCTGCGTTTTTGGTGGGGCGCACAGGAAAGACGGGCCCCCTGTTTTGAACCACGCCCACGTCTACCCAGTCCACCCTGAAGATGTCGGAGCGTGTGTCAAAGGCCTGCCAAGTTCACGCCAAACCAGATTGGGCTTCTCAGTTCTTGAGGCGAAAGGTGCCCCTTTTTCTGGTGGTTTCTATCAGGTACCCCGCAGTTGGTGGTTTGGATTGGTAATTTGAAATTTTAAGCCCCAGCTTGTATTGAAACCAGGGGAAAGGGGTTTTGACGAGGACACCACACCCACACACGCACGCACCCTTTTGGGCACTGGCACTTGGCTCAGATCTGGGCTTGTCAAGGGAGAGGGAAAAAGGAGCGAGAATTGGACAAACCGTGGTCTAGTGTAACATCCACCTTCACCCCCGAACCTTCCCTGAACCTTACTTTTTTCTTGTTTTTGGTTAGGGGGAGGTCGGATCCCGTGAAGGTTTGGGGGCAAAGAGTCTTTCTTTCAGAAAGTGAGGTTGGCGCTTGAGATCAGCGGTTGATGGGGTTACCATGACCACTTTGGCCGGTCAAAAGAAAGGCAGGTGAAACCAAAAGTTGTTTGTTCCAAGTCAGTCCTTCATGGGGGCCCCGGATCAATAAACCCATCCTGAAAAAGGTACCCTCAAAAAAGTACATAGCCAAATTCCTGTCTGATTAAGTAACCCCCCCGGGCCCCCCCCAGGATCCCCAAACCTCCCCCGGCCCATTTAAAAAACTGATTTTTCGGTGTAGTTTGACCCCCCACCACCCCGGGCACCCCCCCCATTTTGAAGGCTCTGGGCTCCGGTATTTTGGGGGTTTTATATCCGAGAGCCTTTAACAGGGGGGGGGTATCCGGGGGGGGGTGCTGAGGGGCCCCCTCCGCCCGGGACCCCCCCAAAAAAGGGTTGCCACCCAACCCGCGAAAGGAACGTTTTCTGAAAGAGGATTTTCGATGTCTCAATGTTGGGGCGACCGACTCCCAAACGGGATTTTTTCTTTTTAAGCCAAGAGGTTCCATCCAATAGAAACACCAGCCGCCTGTTTTGTTCATTTTAACGACCTTACGTACAGGTTCTGTGTTGCTTAGTGGCTCTGGGTAGGACTTTGGGGCCATGTCGCCTTCAGAGTTTGGGTTCCCAAGCCGCGAAAACAAGCCCCCCACCCCCTTTCAGGATACCAGCTGGCCCAGCCAAACAATCACCTTCAAAATCTGTTTTCAGGAGTCCCTTGTGAAGCAGCTTTGTTGTTTTTGGATGGTATCGAAAGGGAATCCCAACAAGCACTAAGAATGTCTTATGTTTTTGTACGAGAGTCGCTGGGCGACTGAGGCTCCGTCCCTCTCTTACTTTCTCTTACGTGTCGGGGCGTGAAGGCAATCTCCGCGAGGTGCATCTCATTGTGGAGATGTCACTCCCAGGGAGTGACGGTTTGAGGCGCAACTTTAATTTCCGCGCCCGGGAGAGAAAGCTTGCCATGAAACATTTGATCATGAACGGTTTTGGCTTCCCATCTGACGATTTTCCTTTCCGGTTTGTGCGGGGATCTGGTTTGAAAACAGTGCCCTGGCGCAGAAGTCGCCCAGAAGTGGTGAGTATTACGTGCACTGCGTTTGGCCTTCCGGCACTCTTTGACCCGAACACTTACAGACATCCTGTTGGGTTTTAGGTTTTGGGGCTCAAGGTGCTGGATTTAAAAGGCCATTTTCAGGCGCTAAAGCGCGCCTAGCTTCGCCGGCAGGACTCGTCGCTGGCAAGGCTCTAAGCACAGCCTTTTTGGTCCGAGAGCCATACCAAGTCCACCCGCTGCATGAGAGAAAGTCATTGCCCAACCTACATTACATTTTGTCAAAAAGTAGGGCCGCTTTTAGGCGGCACACCAGGTGCACAAAGGGTCCATATTTTTGACAAAACCCCAGATTTTCCACTTGTGACAGGAGTGAATATTTGAGCCAACGTTGGAACGCCTCGTGGTTTCCTCCATTTTTCCCTGGCCAAATAGTTTTCACGTTTGGCTGTGGCCCGGCTCCCGGGAAGTGTTAGAGTGTTGAACCAATGACTCATTCAGGGGCTGAATGCATGAACTCATATGTGCCATCCTTACGGCCACTTGCTTGGGGCTAGGGATGGTCATGAACCCTTTCAGTGGGGGATTTAGAGCCATTGTAACGACGCTGCTTCAGGGGACGACCATTGCCAAGGAGTTTCGATCGCAACATTTGGTCGAGTGAGTCATATATTGTGGACGTTGTGGATGGCCGAAATCCATTTCGCAGCACTGTGCAACAATGGGGAACCATTGTTTGCTTGGTATGTACAAGGGGGTTTAATCAATCCTTTGGGTTTCTGAAGTGGTGCGCGGATCGGATTTCGTCCATCCACAGTATGTGGCAGCTTGCTCCAGTGGCCACCCCGTGGGACATGGACCAAGGTTTCAAGGGTGGCAACCAGGCAACCAGTTTAACTTAAGTGGGGCCCAAGAAAAACAAGGCTGGATCCAACATCCTTGGATAGGTTTTTGGATGGATGGAGGAGGGCCAGCTGTGGAAAGCTGCTTCGAAGCTGTTTCGCGATGTTCATGGATTCCCTGATAGGCTTTCTTAACACCAAGTGGCCCATATGTCGCACCATGCCCAGAAACAGCAAAATGGGGACTGGTCGCTCTCCTCGCATGCTTGTCACGATGCCCCTCCCAGTGCGAACCTGACCTTGGGTGGTCGACATTTTAGTGTGGTCGCTTTGAAGAGCGTGTTCTTCCACGTGCTTAATCATGTTCCAATTTGGCTTTGGCTCGAAAACCCGGTACCAAAATGGAACCTTGGTAAGTGGACACATGGACCAACACCCGCGGTTGGCCCCCCAGTTTAATTTTGATCCACAGCCATTTGGTCCTTCTCTTGGTGAGAATCTGGATACTTGGCCCATGGGACTTCAGCATGGATTTCTCAAGCAGAACGCGCACAAGACATGCGGCAAGAAAGGTGTCGACTGAGTGAAATGGTGTTTGTTTTCCTGGGCCCTGGGCCGCGTGAGGCGAGGCTTCGAAGTTAGGGTGCGATGCAACTGGATTATCAAAACCATGGCGCACTGGATGGACAAAGGCATAGACCAGTTGGCATTCAATCACGTTGGCATGTTTTTAATGTCTATATATATATATATATTTAGATCGCACACGTTTTTTTTAGTACTGGAGAAAACTGAGTTGAATTGTGGCTTATCCCATTCAAAGGCCCATTGAGTGGACCTGGACCATCACTGGGGCTTTGTAATGACATTTGCAACCTGCTATAACCTATTATAACCTGCTCAACTCATCCTCCCCCCCTGTTCCTGTCCTAACCATCTAAGATGGTTTCCACTACCCCCCAAACTACCCAGCAGAATCTAGGTGTATACCTTGTAGTGGTTGTATCGTGGTTGTATCCCCCATGTTTTTTTCTTGTGTTTGTGGGTGAAAGCACTCGCCATGGTCGAAAGGTTTTCCTGTTTCGGGTTGCTCCCTTTTAGTGGCCCTTAAAAGGTGATCACCTTTCATTTCCGGGTCTAAACTGCGCAAGTGAGCAGTCGGTCCTTTCTTCTCCCACTTGGCGTATTTTGGCGTCCTTTGCTGAATGTCATGTGCCTCTCGCCCGATTTGCTTTGGCACAAGGGAGGGGGTCTGTCTTGTAAAAAATAACCGTTCAGTGATCCCCACCCCTGACCCCGAACCCCTGCGAGAAATCACCGGAGAAGCCGGCACTCTTCCAGTCGGGGGTGGGGACGTCCTGTAAGAGTTGAGTGTGCACCCTGAGGTGTTTCACACAGTTGCAGTGACGGGCGCCGTTTCTCGCCGAAATGTTGACACGCCCAGTAACTGCACAGCCAGAACTCACATTTCGTGCGTTCCCCGAAAAATCCACGGGGGATCAGGCTGCGCTTGTCTCTTGAAGCGTGCTCTCTTTCATTCAACCTCAAAGGTTTGAATGTAAGAATGCTATTGAATGCTCGTTTGGGTCGGGGTGTGTGAGTGTGTGTGTGAACTGGCTCCTTCACTTGGTCTGTAGTTTTGTTGCCAGTCCAGCAGCGGCGACATTGGAGACATCTATTGATTGAAAGGCCCAACCAGACCTCATGAAGCCATAGGTGTCCGTTTTGGTTGTTTTACTAGAAAAATAGATGGCCCTGGTTTACCTGGTGGTTTAACCATCTACGAGGGCCATCTATTTCCCCCAAAAAGGACACCTCTGCATGAAGCAATCTTTCTTGGGCGTATCCCTCGATTCGGAGGCTCCCAGGACCCGATGTGGCATGGTTTTCTGGGCGTTACTAGGGATCATATCCCTCCAAAAGCGAATCGACCGGACCTGACTTAGTTTTTCCTTGTTTGGTTCCCATTCTTAGGAATGGCAACCCAATTTCGAAAACCTTTCGCTTCTGGGTCCTTGGGGCAACTGAGTCACAGTAGGATGTTGTTGTGTTTACTTCATTCAGCCCTTAAATCACGGGCGACGTATCGACGCCAGCGAAACACGACGCCTGTCCGGGCGTTTTCGGCGGGTTCCGGTGGCCGCTGGTATTTCGTTCGAGGGTGCGCCGCGCTCCGTGCGGGGGTTGAGAGTTGTGCCCGGGGAAAAGCGCAAAGAAGTTGGTTCTTTCGTTGATGGCTTCCGTTTGCCGAGCACGGTGTGCGTCTTAAAGCTCGGCACTTGAGTTTCCTGGACATTATAACCTCGTGGGGTTTGGACAAATGAAAGTTCAGACTACTTTCGGCCTATTCAATCCCCTGGTTTGAGAGGGATTCCATCAGAGTTTTGCATATTTGAAAACGTGCATCCCTCAACATGACGGGCCTCTCGCACGCGGGTTGCCGCCGCCGAGAATTCAGGGTCTCCGACGTGAGACCCGACGCGGGGGCCATCCAAAAAAGGCTGAAGCAGGAATGTTGACCCCAGACTAACAAACCCCTGTTTATTAATGTGGGGGTGGGGGCCCCTCCAAAAGTGATGAATCCCCACTGAAACCAGGGACACCCCCATATTAATCAACAGGGGTTTATTCATCCGGGGTCAACATTAAGCCTTTGTCGAGGTTTTGGGGAGTAAGCCGAGTTTTGCCTTGTGAGTTGGCAAACTTTAAAGACTTATGTTTGGTTTCTTTCTCATTAAAGGTAAAGCCCAGTCAACTCAGGTCAGGAATACTGAACTTGTGATTTCTGGCACTTGTCTCATGGTCAACTGCTACTGCGGGCTTGCCATTTATTCACCGGGGGAAGTGGTTGGGAGGGAAACCTCACGAAGTAGTCTTAGTTCGACCCTCTTGCGCCGGATGAGTTAATGGGGAGGGGTAGGCTTGTTGGGGTTTTGTTTGACTTATTTCTTGTGACCTTTCATCCAGCTGAAGCCAAGCCCCCTTCTTGCTACTCGGCATGTGCCGGCTTTAGGACCGGTGGTCCTTCAGGTCTTTTTCGGCTTCTTTCTACATCCTGGATGAACCGTGTTTGGCGAGCTTAAGCGTGGGATCCCCTAAATTTCGATGGGCCTGACTTGCTAAAGCACGTCCTGAAAGGGGCCGTATGCCTCAAGTCCATGGGGCCGTGTCTTGTTTCAGGGACTCCCTTCTGGTTGGAATACCCCGCTTTCGCGCCATCGTCTCCTTGACGGCGCTTTTGCATCGATGGGTTGGGCGATCGATTCGGCCCCTCGTTGAAGCATGACTCCGTTCGGCGATGGTGTGGAGGAACGCAATGTTACTCGGACTGGCCGGGCCATCAAAGTTGGGGCTCCGGGTACAACATGGAGACCGCAAGTCCGGCTAAACATTACTCGTTGCTAGAACCTTTTGTCGGTTCCCTTTGAAGGGGGCCATCGCACGTTGGCTTAAGCCAACTTTGCCCACCCAGGTCCACGCTCTTCCTTGCACAGGCCGCAATCTGCCCCGCGGTTGCGCAGAGGATCAAAAGCTTCTTTGTGACCCGAGGGCAACCCCATGCATGCAACAGTGCCCAACATGCCCCTTAAACTCGAGGAAACTACCCTTTCGCATGGACGTACGCAATGAAGGGCCCAACAAACGGCTCCCAACTGAACAGCCCAATTTGCGCTGCAACATGTCCACTGCTGCTTGCTCAAATAGAACAAGAAGACGCTGAAATATAGCACAAGCACGTCAGAAGAGAGCAGCCGCATGGCATAGCCGCGCTGTGGGGTTCTGTCCGCCAACGGTTGGATCCCGCTTCCTTCGGAAGAGGGAATCGAGTTGTGCGCTCGGAGCGTGGGCGATGGCATGGGCGCCAACTGCGGCCGCCGTGCGCCGCGTCGCGAGCCGCGACTGGAGAAGGCGGGAGGGCTTGAGAAAGGGAGACGCCTCCATGGCCTTTTTCTATGTCTTTTATTGGCTTCAGGGTTGTGGAATCACTCGGGGTTTCTCCAACCACTGCTGTGATACTTTTGGGAATCCCCCTTTATATGAAGAACATAGTCTTTGGGGTTAGGCCCTTTCTGTTGTATCACAGAAGTGGTCATTCCCCACAGCCCTGATTGGCTTAGAATACGTGCTGCTATTTCCCCCGTTGCTTCTGAAGGGATGTTTAGCGTCGCTGGAAGCATGCTGATTTTGCCAGGGGACTTAAAACTACATGAGCGGGTGCTCCCTTTCAATGAAGACAGGCAGTCAACCTTAGGGACCCTTCCTTGATCCAAACGAAATGTGCGTGTGCGTGTGCGCAGTGCTAAGTGTTGTGCGTGTGTGCGTGTGTGCACGTGTATGAGTGTGTGTGTGTGTGTGTGTGTGTGTGGGTGGGTGGGTGGGTGCGGGCGGGCGGGCGGGCGGGTGGGTGTGTGTTTGTGTGCGCGGGTGCGTGCGTGCGTCTTTGCTTGTTTTTTTGGCATACCTTTCTGGGTTGGTTTGTTAAATGCCCAAAGACCACCATTTCCGGAGGTTCCGCCCCCCCATTCTGACTGACACACACACACACACACGTTCAATCGACCTAACTTCTTTCCAGGCCTTTCGAACTTTGCAAGCAATAAGTTCCAGGGTAATGTTTGAGTTTGCCTCGACATGAGTGGAACATAGGGAGCCAAAGGGCCTCTGCAGAGATTTCCGCTGGCCGACATTTGTTTGAGACGAGGCTTTTTTTCCGTTTACGCAACAACTCTCACATGAGGTCCGTTAAAACCCTGCCACCATGGATGAACACATGTAAGATGGGGTCCGGACTGCCACACTGCATCGGATTTCAATTCACATGGAATCGAAAGGGTGAGATGGGAGTCAGCTGTCCACTGAGCCCTCAAGAAGTTGTTTAAACATGTTGCGCAACAGCTGAATCCACACGAGACAACTTGTTTGCGTGGGGAGTGGGGGTTTGGGGGGGATGATCGCGCCCATTTCAAGGGGCACGCGCGCTCGGCACCTCTCGTCTCGCTGGACACAAGCTGTTTGCGTTTGACGCCGTTCCTTGGGTGCGGGCGCTTACGCCTATCTTTACGTGATTGCTTGAGTGCGGCGGTTTTCCCTCGGCAGTACGCCCATATCTTGCAGGTTCTGAGGTCAGAGAATCGCCACAGGGCCGCCCTTTTCGCGTTTGACTACCCCTATTTGCGAGGCGCTTGCGGTTCACCGGCCTCTTTTTCGCTGCACGCTGGGCGGAAGAGAGGAACTCGCCAGGGAAGATTTGTTGCTCTGGAGCCTGGGAGCGCGGGCGGCACCGAAGTCTCCATCTCGTTGTCAGTACACGCCAAATTCGAAGTCAAAGTAGGCTTTCATGCTTAAGCAAGCGCATCTTCAAACACCGAGCTGTGGCTAGCACTGCAGATGGCAAGGCGTAGCGTTAAAAAACAGCTTCGACTTAGACATTGCTAAGACATAGCCGCACTTTGCACTCGCCAACGGCTGCAAGCATGCTGATTAATTTGCCTTAACAGTGGATGTTCCGCAGAAACTACGGCAAAGATTTGTGGCGTCACGCTGTCAATTTTCTCGCGGCGGCCTGACTTGAGACGCCCGCAGCATGCGCAAAAAGCGCCAGGTCACTCACGAGTCACGAGGGCGTGACCCTGATTGTGCAAGGTAATTATTCCTGCTGTAGCTGGTTTCAACAAAGAAAGCCACCATGCCAAGGGTTTGTGAGGCTCACCCCATTGAACAATTGAGTTGGGGACCCCCGGAATTGCATTTGCCTTTCCACTTTCCCGTTTTGGGGTTGTTGGGAAGGCCGCATAAATTTGAATTGGGTTCCGAACCTCCGTCTAAATTAACGTTTGTGACCTTTCAAGAAGTGAAGAACCCAAGCGACGTTGGAGGCAAGACGCGCGTCAGGTGTTCCAGCGGGACTTCCCCAAGGAGTGGTCCACCGTGAGCACCCCCGACGGCCAGCACATCCAGGCCTCCGGCGGTTTGAGGGAGGGCCGGCCGCTTTCTTTTTGTCATCTCGCGGCCATCGGGGATTCATGGCCAGCCCCCCGGCTCGGAACCAGCCCGGTTCCTTAGCTCCTTAGCCTTTTAGTGTTTAGTGATAGTTTCCAGTGAGCCCACTAAAGGTGAGTCACTTTTAGCGGGGGATCTGAGGGCAGCCCAGTTTTGCTGGGGTTATCAAAATCCATGGCCTGGTGGTGTTCAATCGCTTGATGTCTTGGATGCTGTTTGAACGAAAGCCAGAAAGACATCACGGCGCGCCGCTCCGTTCTAGGGAGGGTGGTGGGATCAAGGGATCATCGCAAACCAAATCAAAACATGACAAAGTGAGCAACAGGGGTGTGGGATCAAGTGGTATGTTATCCCCCGCTTGTGTGATACAAGGGAGTCTCCGCCCTTTTATATGGGGGGAGGGGGGGAATCTTTGGGAAGCCCTTTCTGTCTCTTTGTTGTATCACAGAAGTGGTCATCGATACGTTTGGTGAAGCAAGCAAGGCGACCAAAGAAGACCAAGCAAGCTATCCGGGTTTGTCTTTTTTAAGGGGGACACCCCAACATGGTACGGTCAAACAAAGACACACACACACACATCACACACACACACACACACATCTGAAAACAACCCCAATCCCCAATTCCAGAATTATTGTTGCTTTGGACCAAAAAAGGCTCACACATATTGAGGCTGGCTGAGGCCTTTAGGGGCCAAGGGCTAGATGCTTTCCACTGCATGTTAGCTGGGAAAGAATTGGGCGTGGAGACGGCACCCAAGAACTCACTCCTGGGTTTCCGGACCCTGACTTTTACTGCGAAAATAGGAGTTTTGAGACTTGTTTTGGCAAAATGTTGGCAGACTTTCAGAGGTTAAAGAAAACATATAAACCGACATAAGCGAAAACAGACCCATGTAAACCAACAACAAAGAAACACAGTACAACCCACACAAACCCATACAAACCCACTAACTCATACAACTCATATAATCCATCCGAAAACGTACTATTCCATGAAAAGACCCGGTGCAAACCCATAAACACCACATATAAACACATAAAACACCATATAAGCAGGTAAACAACACGCATACACAAGTACAACAAACACGTGTCAGACCATACGCACAGCTATAAGCCCATAGCAAGCGATATAGACACATTGAGTACACATAAAAGACCCATAAACACCCATATAATCCCATACAATACCGAAAACAATCCATGCACTCCCACATGAAATTCGTATGAACCCCTACAACCCCGTGTAACTTGTGGGCCGCTTCCGGTTTGTGTTGGTTTCTCTTCAGGTGAGGGCCCTTCAGAGCCAGCTGCGGCTGCAGGGGCTCGCAGAGGCGATCGCTCGGGAATTTCGAGTTTAAGGTTCCAAGACTTGGCGAGTGCGAGAGATGCAGGGAATGAGCAATGGAATGACCCCACCTTTAACAGGGATCCAGATGCATTATACACCTGAACATTGTCTTGTCAATGGTGGTTGCCCTTTATTTTGGTGGAACAAGCCCTGTTTCAAATGGGCAAACTGTATCTTTTAAGGAGCCCTGTTTAAAGGGTCATGGAGACTCCAGGTTGTTTTTTAGTAGCATGTCTTGGTGGTTCCCAGCCATCCCCCTTACTGACGTGCCCAAAGCGAATCGACCGGATGTCACCTTTTGGTTTTCCTATTTTTGTCTTGGGTTCCCATTTTCAGTCATGACCCCAAAAGGTGAACCTTTTATTTCTGGGTCCTTTGACCAACTGATGAAATGGAATGACCCCGAGAAAAAAACAAAAACAACATCTATGGAAATCCCCTCCGGCTCATTCCCAACACCGGAAGGTCATTCTGAGCACCAGCAAGAATCGAAAGAAGAACCACACCTTTTGAGCATGCAACTCTCCCATGATGATTGCTCTTCTTTGGGGTCAAAGGTATGCTATGTTGGAGGGTTCTTGGCAAGATGGTTCCACTACAGTACCCCCCAAACCACCACCCATAGAGGAAATTGATGTATATTAACCCATATAAAGCGGCTTTTTGGGGATTGTATATCCCGTGAAACCCCTACCCTAGGAATAGTGGTTTCGGGGTAGTGCAAACCATCTGAGTCAGGTATTCTCGCCCAGCATAGCATGCCTGCCCGCTCACCCACGCCATGATGCCGCAAAAGCCGTTCCTCAACCTGTGCATAGAAAAAGGAGGTCTTGCGGGGAACAGCTCAAGATGCCGGCGAGCAAGCTTGACACGCTCGCTGACTGCCGCATCACAGCCAAACCACGGGTCGCGTAAGCAAGGCGCTAGCGGAAGCAACCTTCCACTGCATATGGGTTCATGGTGTATTTATGGAATTGCTCACTTAGCGGCTCCGAATCCTTGTGAAATAGGTCTGTTTTGCATGTTGGCATGTGCTTACTTGCCTATGTTTTGGTCCCGAGCGATTCCTCCGATTTGGGGGGTCGGAAGAGTGAGCGCACTATGACTTAGGTGTGTTACTTGGCTTGAATTCGTTCTGCAGGGTTTGAATTCGTTGAAACTGTACTATTTGCAGTTCAGATGTATCAGATGTCTTTTCTTTGTTGGCCCTGCTGCTTGCTTGCAAACTTTTCAGTCGACTTGTTTTTGGCAATGTCATTTGGCAGGGGTATAATAGTTGACATTTGTTCCTTTTTGTCGGGGTGGAACTTTCTCGCTGTACAGTGCTGTGCAGCAAAAGCCCCTTTACACAACTTGCCTTTAATGAGGAGGAATGTGTGTGTGTGTGTGTCGTTGTCTGGGTCTGATTTCATTTTGCATTGGACTGGGTTCGTTTTCGCGCCATTTGGCTGAGCGAGTTGTTCGTCCACGTAAGCTGCCCAAAACATCATGCCCCACCAAAGTCGCCCGATCGGCCGGGCACCGAAACACGACAAACAGCATGATAATTGATGGTGTTTGTTTCGGGCGGTATGGTTGGAAGGATCCCAGGAGAAATGAGGTTTTGATGGTTCTGCCGGGTTCTGCACGGACGTTGCGCGATTGGCAAGGACGGCCGTTTGATTCAGCCGAAGCAGCAGAAGTTTTTTTGTTTTTCTCGTTGGGAAGTTGGCCAAGCATTTACAAAGTTGCAGCACTGATTCTTGCAACTTATGCCGTAACCTTGGAACTATATACACACACTATAGCGACCTTTGAGGTGCCTTTAGCAACGTGACTTGAACCATGGCCATCTTTTGAGAGGCGAACCGATGTATGACCCCCCCCGGTCTGAACCCGAGTTTTGTTAGGTCAGAAACATTCGTGAGCCGTTAGCTGCTTAGTCATGGACAGGAACAAACGGCCCCAAAGTTGTCCAACAACAAAATGAGAGTCCATCTGCGGACATGTGAAATCAGCCTTTGTTGGGAAAACTAGCTGGGGCCTTCCCAAGAGACCCTGACTCCTTTGACCATGCCACCCAACCATACCCCTCGAAAAGGATTTCAAGGGCATCAACAAGACTAGCGAATCCCATGTGTACTGCTTTCCTCTTGCGCTGAATGCCAAGAGCATCTAGGATGCAGCCCATTTCCTTTTGGGCCCTTGAATATGTCCCCCCCCCCGCACCATCCCCATCCCCCCGCCCGGTCCTGCAAGGTTTCGACAGCACATCCGCAGGGGCTGCTCCACTTTTACTTAACCTACTTGAGACCTGGCCGCAGAGCTCCCCCTTTGCATTTTTGATCCAAGTGCTGTTCCTTGAGTGGTTTTCTTCTCTTTGATCACTTGTTCAACAGCTACTACTTTCTGGCAGGGAACCTTTTTCAGCGGCAACGCAGCAGACACAAACAACCTGCGGTGCCAGATGCCATCCCCTTTGATTCGCCCATTTCACCCGGTAGATCCTCAGGTGGGAGGTGTGGAGCATCCAAGCGGCATCGCAGCCTCGTTCCTTTTTTGGGGCTTCTCCTCCTTGAAGCCCAAACGAGCCACGTCCTCAAAACCGATTCGGGTAGATGAAGGTTAGTAAGGGACAATCCCAGCCATAAATAGTTGCGGGTTTCCGCCTTTGTATTTCCTTGCATGCGTTCTGGGTCAACCATTTGAATACCGGGCTTTGATTGTGACTCAAATAGGGTGGCCCCCAGGCTGGAGGCCTTTGGTGTTTTCATGTGTCATCTTCTCGCCCGGCCACGGCCCGGATTTTGGTACAAGGGTTGGCCACCGAAACCAACCTGAGGCATCAGGTTTGGCCCAATTGGGCCCCTTGGCATCCAAGGCAACGCGGCAAATGGCTTGAGGAGTAACACTCAGTTCAGCGGCACCATTTTTTGCTCCTTTTTTTTTTGGGGGTGGCCCCACCAAAAATGACCCAAGCCCCAAAAAGGGTTCCCAACATTTTCTCCCAGGGTCGCTGAACAACTGAGAACCGGAACCCGAAGAACCCCCCCCGTCGCTCCAGCTCCAGCTCTTTGCGAGCAGGTCGACCCCTGATGCTACAGGAAAAAGGGGGCGCCCGGTTTTTGCGACGGGGGCTTCTTGAAGGGGGGCTCAATATCACACGGGGGCTTCCCATTTGCTCAAGCATATGTTTTATTTCCGCCTCTTGGTGTAAAGGGGGCCTATGACAACTGGACATATGTTCCAATTTTTCCCTGGCGAAAAATGCAAATGGCACATTACGCGACGAAATGCGAACCCCGTTTCGCCCCCAGGAGAGGCGACGCGGGAGGTCTGGCGGTTCGCCCCTCCAAAGTTCCCGACGCCGGCAGCGGCCTTTTCGCCACCCGCGCCTCGACTCTGGTGTGAGGGAACTTCTGCGTCTGGCGTTTGGTGGGGTCCGGAGCGCATCGGCACATCAGGCGGCAGGCGGCAGGTTATGTTGTCTCTAGGTCCCCAGTAGTGACCTTTTACCAACTTTTTTGGTTGGGAGGGTTCCCCTACTAAAATGGACTACAGAAAAAAGGGTACCCTTATTCTAACCTCTCTACTCGAAAACCTAGATGTTTGTTGTTTCTCTCCCCCCCCCCTTCCCCGAGGAAGAAAGAAAGCACCACCTGGGGCTTGTCGACGCTGACGAAAGGACAGAGGGAGCAGGGAACAACGACTAGTGAGTTGGATGGTCTTCACTCGGTGCTGCCAGAGTTGGGCCCTTCCGCCCCCATGTGAGAATTTTGGGATCGATCCCCGGTTTGGCCACAACCAGAAGGATGCACTGCTCGCGCTCAGCAGGTTTGACAGGGGAAAGCCTTCCATGAAGGAGTTCCCCGAAATGAAATTCCAAGGGAGGTCTTTTGGGGTTTCCATGTTGTACCTCATTTTTTTTTGAAAGCCAAAAGGACACGTGCCCATTTCTACTTTGACACTGGAGAAAATGCGGGAGTGTCAGTAGTTAAACCACGGTTGCCTTTCGCAACTGTGGCTTGTCGCCTTCCCACAAACGCAGGTTCCCTGCATTCGCCCTGCTTTGTACGCATCATCTGAAAAGGGGCCATTTGAAATGAGCTGAACCTGGGGCCGGCTTGAAATCTAGGCTGACAACTAGCAGGGAATAAAGGGAATGCCCCTACACCATCCCTTGTGGTTTGCTTTAAGGGAATCGCCTTTCCCAAGTTCGTGGTGCTGATTGCCGGCCAAACAGAAGCCAAGAACGAGCCTCGACATGCAAGTGCTAGGGACCAGGCACCGATGTGCAAGGGAGGGATTGTGGCAACTTAGCACCTGCGATGTTGAAAACGTATTTCCAAGACCTGGCGACCCTTGACGTATCAGCCCCACCCAAAGAAAAGAGTGGAGGCTTCCCTTCCAGAAGGGCCCGTGCCTGATCAACAATGGACTTGCCGCCCTCCCCCCCAAGAGATCAGGTGTTGCTTAGTTGGTCGATTTGAGCCCCTGGACCCATAGGTTCTCAGGGGTAAATGGAAACCTACCCCGGACCCCGGAACTCCTTTTTTCAAGTGGTTGTCAGTTGTCTCGCAAGGATTCTGAGAGTCTTTCCCCCTGCTCAAACAGGGGTTTATATTAATTTGGGGTCACGTTTCCCCCCAGGAAGACCCCAGAAGGGTCATTGCCAGAAAACATGGACACCCGGAAACCCCCCCTCCCCCCCACTAGGTTCCCCCCCGGAAAACCCAGAACCCCCCCCCCCCTCCCCCCCACCCGCTATGCCCGCTATGCCCAGGCCGCTTCGCTCCCGGGGAGCTGCTCTGCGTCTACCGGGGCAAGTCCATCCCTCTGGCGCAGGTCCTGAAAGGCACGAAACTTCGGCCCCTTCGGACCGAGCTTCGCCTGGTGCCATGTGGCGGTGTTCTTCTTTTTTCGAATGTGTATCCCCCCCTTTTTCTTTTTTTTTTGGTGCAGCGCAAGGGAAACCAAAAGGAAAGCCATGATTTGGGATTTCGGGGGGGGGGGTACACCAAAGAAAGACGCCGCCATGTAGAAACCTTGGCACCAGCTGGTCTTTGGGCGATTTTTAGGGACCGCACCTGTGAAGGAACCCGGTTAGATGTGCTTGTAGTACCCGTGCGTCCCTGATATACCCTGGGTTCAGACCGCTATTGGGAACCCCTCGCTATTAACAGGAGGGATTCTTATTAATCCGGGGTCAACATGACCATTTTTGTGGACCACTTGGGCATGAAGCTAAACAAGGGGCCCTTTGCTGGACTTCATTCACATGGTGGTTTTTGTTTATCAGCCATGAGTGGTGATGTGTGAAGGTCACGCAAGACCTTACCGCCATTTTGGTGGTAGACACTCCTGTGCACAAACATGGAGCCCGCTGGAGGGTCCCTTTAAAAGAACATCGTCTTCCAGGACCCCTCGTGTTCCACGTTGGGTGATGGGAGGCTGTGGACATGTTTTGTTTCTCGCCAATCCACTCGATCGGAAGTGAGGCGTCAACCGAAGGCGATGGTTGGGGCGTTTGATTCATGTGGGTATGAACATTGTAATAAGGGACCCTTTGGTGCACATCAGAATTCGGTGGGGATTCATGTCCAATCACTTTTGAGGTGGTTCCTTATGACAATTTGTGGCCAGGTTGATGTCGGCTGTACAAGCCCACCAAAAAGGTGCCGAAGCACTCGGGTATTTATCCAACTTGCTCACATCAGCTTCTCAATATCCCCAGTTGGAGATGTGATTTTTCATCATCTCCTGAAATTTATTTGTCTTTTTGCTTCGTTTGCTTTTCTAGCCAATTCCGTTCTCTTCAGGGATCCTTTCGCTTTAAATTTGCAAAATTCCTCGGGGAATTGGGCAACATGGGTGGTGTTTCGAGAGCGCCTTGTCAATGCTTGGTTTCCAAACGGCATACTGAAGAACATAAGCGGCCCTTTCTGTCGCAACAAATCGTGAGGCCGGGGAATCAAAACAGAGCCTTGGAGCTGTACTGTGGCACCAGATTTTGGGGCAGCGCTCAGCGCTTGAAACCCACGGCCGGCCGCATCGAACCTTTCGAGTCTCGGGTGACGTCGACGTTTCGAGACGTCGCCAGGCAACGTCACGGAGCGTGACTACCTCATGGGCGGCTTCGGCTTGTACAGCGCCCTGGCCACCAGACAACGCGCGGCGAAAACAACCGGACGGAGGCGTCCCAGGCGTTTTTTTCTGCTTGAGACTGGCTGAATCACATTTTTAAAGAAAAACAACAACACACAAAGAAAAGACAACACTAACAACCAAAACAAAGGGGTTAGAAATTCGTGAGGCGTGAGGGGTTGATGCAGATTGGGTCCCATTTTCCGCATCGTTTGTTGTTCTTTTTTTGTTTTGCCTTTGTTGTTGTTTGGAGGGGAACAGTCCCATTTTCCGAATCATTTTTTGGTTTTGTTGGGGGGGTGGTTTCGGAGGGGAACGCAGTCAATATACTAGCAGGATGGGTTTGTGAATAGGGCACGACTGGCCAGTTTTCAGTTTCAGGACTTTGGTGGGGGATGTGCTCTTTCCCAGGGGGCTGACTTTAGGGTCGTCCCCTTTCGGACTTTTTCTGGTTTTTGACTTGGGAATGTGTTTTCCTTGCTGTTTCTCAGCAGGAATTGAGTTGGAATGACGCCTATGGGTTAAACCATCCCCCGTGGTTTCCTTTAAGGGAATCTAGGTTCATTCCCAACACCCGGAAGGTCATTCCCCACTGAGCACGAGGCATCGACGCCGCAGACTTCCCGGAGGTGCTGGCACGCTACATCAACGACCACGCCGCCTCCCCAATAATTTTGCGGACGTGCAGCCACTTTTGGCGGTCCGCGCGGCTGGACGTTTGGATTGGAGATTGTGTGTGGTGCTTAGCAAAGTCATGGCAGCCCTGTCCAGCCATCTCTTAGAGCCTTTAGACTTTTTCCGGTGTAGATGGGCTTTATGAGCAGTGTCCTGCAAGTTTCACGAGGAACCTAGAAATGGGCTTGGTTTCTGTCAACTTCCATGCCTGCATTTTTCATGGGCACCCAGTTCCCCGAAACATGGCATCGACCCCACAAAGGTTCCTGCCCTACAAGCAAAGCAACAATACCCCCCCCAGGAAAGTTCAAAAGGTGGGTTGGCGAGGTGCCTGCGGGGTCTGAGTACATCTACCTCGGATTGGAAGCCCATGCCCCTCAAACAGCAGTGGAAGTACAAAGGAGAGTGTTGGAAGACTATCACCGGCTGGAATTGGGTCCTCTCTACTTTTTACCAACCAGGCAAAACATATAGCTTTTTGCTGGGGTCGTATTTCCAGCCAAGCAAAGAGTGTAGACAAGACAAACAACACATCGAACACAAGAAGCAACTCTGCGTGGGTTCGACCAATGCTGGCAGTTTCCGCGCCAACCTCAAGAAAGAAGAAAACACTACTACGAACTTTGGAGTCCCAGTTTCTCAGTGACCCTAGAACAGGTCCTCCCCTACAAATTCACATGGGAGCACAAAAACGCACATTCTCTTTCTGGTGGGCGGCAACCCCTATTCGGTAGCTAACCCAGGATCGCGACTAATACGGTACAAGGGGGGTGTCACCTATAAGAGCGGAATCGGATTGCAAGGGGGCACAACAAGTGCAAGATAGGTACCCAAGTCTTGTGGAACAAGCGGATGGCCTTGGATTTCATGCAACTGCGGCACAATTTGCGGTTTTAATCAGGGGATCACTCGGGGTTTCTCCAACCACTTCTGTGATACTTTTGGGAATCCCCCTTTATATGAAGAAAATCGTCTTTGGGGTGAGGCCCTTTCTGTTGTATCACAGAAGTGGTCATTCCATTCCAACCACAGCCCTGGTTTTAATGGGAAAGCCCCACCCGCTCGGTTGCTCTCTCCGCGCCCTCGGACCCGCAGACTCGCCTCGTCCGAGGCGGAGGCTTCCAGGCACAACGTGAAGTTCCTGAAGCTGAAGCGGCGGGGGGTTCCGATGCCGTCGGCCGGAGTCGGCTTGGGGGCACCCGGTCTAAGAGAGCTTGAGGTTTTTTATGGTTGGGTCCGGTTCCGACCACGCAGGTCCTGGATCCTGGGTTCAGTGAGAAATATAGTGGTTTTACGAGTTGTCTGCCAATGGAATAAGGTTGGGGGCGGCTGGCTGCTATCGGAATCGCGGCGAAAGCGTGAAGGGGAGACCTTGCGTTTCCGAATGGTGTGTGGCATCGATTGCAACTTAACCCACTTGTCCAGAGCCAATCTTTTGACCGTTTGGGTCTTGACTTGGCGAAAATCCGTGAAGGTCCCAAAAGGTGAACCTTTGATTTGCAGGTACTTTGAGCAAGCGAGTCAAGGACCCTCACATCAACCATAGTTGAGGGCTGATTTCCTTAAACTCAGGTAAGCAGGAATTCCCATTTGAAAGGGAGTGGGGCTGACAAATCATGCTCGGAAGCCAAGTAAATGGTGTGATGTTGAGCCCTGACCCAAACCCCCCCACCCCCACTGATCAAGGGGTGTGTTTTAGTGGGGACTCTTTTCCCGCCAAGGACTTTCCCAAGCGAACCCCTGATGAATAACCTGGGGGGGTATAAATCAGGAGTCAGCATTAATGTTTTCTTGGTGCACTTGTGAGGGGCATGCAACCCAAGTGCCAACTCTTGCCAGCTTTGCAAAACGGCAGCCATTTATTGCCTTTACCGATTCATGGAGATCAGCGGTCCGCTGCTCCAGGCACTTCTTTCAGATGCTTTAGGAACAAAAGCATTTGCCACCTACCACGAACATAGACCTTTGACCTGTCAGCACTAATCAGAGGGGTGTACGGCCATTGTCCCGCAGCCGACATCCTCGGAAGGCCGCGCTCTGGAATACCCAAGTAGCTTGCATCAGGGTTGATGCGCGCCGTATATCATGAGCTTTTGGAGACGCAGGGGCTTGCAGCTTGGTTTTTGGTTCAGTTGGCGCTTGGCGTTTGCCCACTGTGCTCGTCCTGGCTTGGAATGGTTTGATGGGGCACCCTGACCCGTTGGGCAAACGCACGCGCAGCGCGTGGCTGTTACTTGCCGCGCTTAGGAGCCAAGAGCGGGTAACCATATGGGCTTCCCTGAGTTTTTCTAGCCGTGTATTTTGGCAGCTGTCGGCACGAAGTGCCGAGTTTTGTAGCAAATCCACTTACTGGCGCCCTGAAATCATGTTCTGGGAGGAGAGCCCTGAAACTAACTAGCTAAAAAGTCGAGCGTCGCTTGCTCTGGGTGGAGCAAGCTGGCGCGACTGAGAGAACTGATTTGCCTAAAGCGGGCGTTGAAACACCTTTTATTCCCTTTTTGTTTTGGTCCCCCAAAAAGCCAACCTTTTGTGAAAAGGAGAAACAAACATCGTCCAGCTCAGGGAGCGCAAGGCCCTGGCGGTAGCGCTTCGGGAGATTGTGCCGGGGGAGGAGATCTACGCCTTTTACGGGGAGGGCTTTTGGCGGGCCCGCGCAGGCAGGGCGGGCGCATTTGGAGGGCTTGGAGGGTGGAGGGGGGTGAGGTTTCAAGGAAGCGAACGTGTCTGATATCTTTTGACAGATTCCCCAAATAGTGTTTACACCAAGGGGTTCTTACGGTAACAGTTGCAGGCCGAAGGTTCGCGCACGAAGTGGCCCTCTGTGTATAATGTTGTCTTCGATGCGACAGTCTCGCGCGAAATTGGGGTGTGCGCTGAACATAGCAACTTTCAATCGCAAAAGTCCGCTCCGGCTGCAATTTTCAGCGCGAAAGCAGTCGGGAAGAGCATTGCCGCAGCTCCGCCTGCCAAATCACAACTTTAAAATGCAAAAGTAGTACGCGAAACGCATTCCCGTAGCTCCGGCTGCAAAATTGCAAGTTTCAAGCGCGCAAGCAGTACGCGAAGAGCATTCGCGTAGCTTCGGCCTGCAAATCGCAATTTTTGAGCACAAAAGTGGCACGCGAAGCGCGCTCCCGCAGCTCCAGCTCGAAATTCCCAACTTTTAAATACCAAAATCAGGCGCAGAGTGCACTCCCGCAGCTCCGACTTAATAATGGCAAGTTTCTACGTGCAAAAGATGCGCGCAACCCGCGCTCGAAGATCGATTTTTTTTTTTGCGCGGAGGTAATGTTCGGAAAGTGCGCTCTCGCATCTCCAGCTCGGAAATCGCAACTTTAAATTGCAACAGCAGTACGGGAATCGAGCTTCCGCATCTCCAGCTCGAAAATCGCAAAAGTAGCATGCGAAGTATACTTCCGCAGGTAAAGCCGCCAGCCTTCTTGCGCAGCCAAGCTGCGCAAAGATGTGGACAAGAGAGGTTGACAAGGGAAACGGACATGAAAGATTGGGTAACCAAGGTTGCAGAGCAGCACGCGCAGCATCACGGGCAACATCATGCGCAGCGTCACTCGCAGCATCATGTGCAGCACCCTGTGGGCATCATGCGCAGCATCACGCGCAGCGTCGCGCACGACAGCTTCACTTCACAGCGTCGCGCGCAAGAGAAGTTGACAGGAGAGATTGTGAAGCATTGTTTGTGTTTTGCTGCTTATCAAGCAGAGGAGGTGTCAGAGATTCTTTACCGTGTTTCTATGCTTCCGGGCCACCCGTCGCTCAACACTACTTGTCATTCTTGCCGGGAACATCATATATAGGGCGGGCGAAGTATGAAGCAGGATTTTAACAAGTCAGGAAGCCGGGCCCCCAGCATCAAAAGCGTGATGGTCTCATATATTGGCCCTCTACAAAAACCAGAGGTTCAACGGTTCAACTCCCCATCCGGAGTTGCAAAGCTTTTTTTTACCAGCAGTGATATGAAGCAAATTGGAAGTTGTGGCTGGGACGGCACTTGCCCGGCCTTGACCACCAGCCACTTTTGCAAACCACCCCTTTGAGGGAAGCTGACTACGGGAGTTTCCTGGTTTTGTTGGACCTTAGCCAAAGCGGAACCAAGAGGGCAAGCGCGGGACGTTGAGAGTGGGTTGAGTTTGGGGCCTCGCCGGCAGTTCCAGGAGAAGGCTTGGAGTAGCCCGGAGTTTTTGCACGGGCCCCTGGGAATTTCATGGAGTTTCAGGGGAGCTTTGTTTCTGGGCACGATGCGTGTGAGCCGTGAGCTGTCTTAGGCGAATGATGTTGATTCGCAACCGAGTGCACGGGACCTGCAAGGAACAAACCTTCGCTGTGGGTGACGTCGCGGGCCTCCTACTAACGTCCCGTTTAACACTTTGTCATTAGCGCAGGAGTCGCTGTGCGCATGTCGACTAAATCAATCAATCAGTGCAGATCATCACCATCAATGTCAGGGGCCCGGACCACTTCTGCCTTTTTTCATACAATTCCCATGGTTTCTCTTGGTGATTCAATAAGAAGTCATGTGTGAAGGGGGGGAAATCATGTTTCCACGGGTTGCGGATATGACCAGGCTTGCGGGGCGATGCCTGCGGCAAAGGCTGGCCGCAACATCATGTTGTTACGTTGCTTCTCATTTGGCGCATCAGCGTCGACCAACAAAAAATGTAAAGAGTCAGTTGAAGTTGAAAAGCTGGTAGAATTGGTTTGCTTTTGAAGGGCAGGAAACGGACAAGTACTTGATATTTCCAAGCCACAACCCAGTCATATACAGACACACACACACCAGCGTTCTAGATATATTGGTTGCCCTTAATTTCGGCATATTTACCTTTTACTCTTTTAGGAGAATGTATGTTACCCTACAAATGTTGATTCAGAGCCATGGCAAGGCAAGCCATTGCAACCTCTACTAGTGCCTGATTGTTGCCAGGCGCTATGAAGGACCGCTGTCTGGCCCAAAACCCTCCCATGGCTCCAAATCAACATTGGAAACCTGCGCCCTTCGCAAGGGCTAGCAGCAATGCGTCCGTGCGTGTTGGTTTTGAGGTGGCTTCAAGGGAAACCAGGAAACCACAAGGAAAACCGCTTGAGATCCCCATGTGGCTGTGGTCTCCTTTGAGCTGCCCGAGCTCTTCCACAGCATTCCAAGCGTAGCAGGCCCAATGTTGGGAACTTGTGGCCAGCTCAGCGGCAGTGACGAAGCTTGCAAATCTGAGAGCAGGCGCCGGGTGCTTGCTTCCCAGAACGGCCGGCAGGTACGGAGGATAGGTGCGCGGTTTGGGTTCTCTCAACCACGTACCCCTGCGTAGGTGCCCCGACAAAATACGTAGTGTGTACGTCGAGGGTTGCAAAACCATCGTTGTCAAGGGGGATGCCATGAGTACCTACCCAAGCCATGACTCAGGCTGTGTTTCCCCGCGGCAAGCTGGCTCAAATGAAGCGACTCGCGAGGAAAGCGTGGCAACATCAACGAACCTATAGACAAAGAAGATGCAAAGGCAATCAGACCAATCAGATATACATACGCCTTGGCGCATTTTGCTTGGATGTTTTAGGACTTTAAACTTTTTGCCAACTAATGGGTTTTCCGTATTAAACATATCAAACCTCGAACAGTTGTCACTTTTAGCAGGGGAACAGAAAGCAACCGAGTACGCTGGATCAGATGAAGATCATTCGCATCAATGCGCGTATGGGCATGGAGGTCAACTCCAGTGCCGCACAGTTCACCCCCCTTATGTGCCACAAGCGTCCAGCGAGGGTTTTTTTACCGAATAAAAACGAGAGGATTGGACGCCAGTTTTTTTCAGCGGTGGAAATGCGGAACCAGGGTTGAGCTTCCCGTCTTTTTGTTTTCTTGTTCAAGTGGTGCGGAAAAAAGAAGGGGAATTCGCGACCCTCCAGAGTATGGTAGACAAAGGAGTGAATAATAATATGTGACTCTACAGATTTGTTTCTTGATAGGGAGAATTCATCTGGGACCTGTCAGTCTTGTCTACCATGGTAGGCGCGGCTTAAAAGCACCTGCTGGCAGAGCTCTCGCGCCCGCGGCCTGTCTCGGCTCGCCATGGCGACCCCCCAGGACTTGTCCGCCGAGGAGCTGGAGGCTGCCGGGAAAAGGGGGGGGGGAGAGCGGTGTCTGACGGGAAACATACGGCTCTGGGTCAAAACCAATGGGTTTCAGTATTGGCTAGGGATGTTCAGGGAACACCGAGCGAAAATATGTTTGTTTCAATTGAAACGAGTATTGGCTAGGGATTTTCAGGGAAAACCGAGCGCTTTGATAGGGGGGGTTTATTAATCCTGGGCCTGGGTCAGCATTGCGCCACTTATTTTAGTCGGGATTTTTTAGTGGGGATTGAATCGGAGGTTCACTCGGGGTACGATTTTGGCTTTTGACCCATGGCCATAAGGGTTTCAAGGTCAGGATGTTCCTGCACTTTAGTTTTTTTGGTTGAATGTTGGGTTTTCCTTTTGGTGTCCCTTGTAAGCCCAAAACCAGGGGACACTCTCAAAAAATGAGACACCCAACTGCCGTGAAGTTGGTTCCCAAGGTATAAGCCCGGTGTGACCCTGCAAGTTTCCCGAGCCCGTGTCAACCCTGGATCTCCGTTTAAAAAGGGGTTTAAACAGAGGGGGGGGGTCCTCTTGTAGTGGGAATCCTCACTTTCATGCTGACAATGCTGGGGCATGCCAAAGAAAGCGTTGCTTGGTGCCAGTTGTTCAGCACCCTTTTTCCCTTTTGGTTTGGTGGTTCCTAGGACCCCGAAAAGATATATCGGTGTGGCTCAAAATTGACTAGGAGGGGTTACGCAGGTTTTGGCCCTTGTTTCCACTTACCAGAGTTCCATGTCGGAATTCCAGTTTTTTGAGCCACAGCCATATGGCTCCCTCTTTGTCACTCCGGGCATGGCAACATCTGAGACAATTTAGCATCCTCAGTTGTTCAGTGGCACCCTTTTTCCGTTTTGTGGATGCCCAGCTCAAGATGGTCTTTGTCCCAAAGAAGTCGGCCGGCCCTTTGCCGGTGGTTTGGATTCGTGGTGTTTGGATTCAACTTCCTAGGCACCAATCAGAAACGCCCAAGAGGGAACTATGTTTAGTTTCACTTTCGCCAAGGTTCCCTTACTTGGCCAAAGCCGATCTGGTCTTCCCCTTTTCCATAAAACCGAAGGAAAGCCCAAGGTGTTTCCCTTCGGTTTTTTGGGCAACTGGGCAACTGAGTTCCACTTCTGAGTCAGTCACCGGCCCAACTCTCCCCGCCTTCCGGTCCTTCCGATCCACTGGATCCGACGGACGGGTCCTCGAGGCCATGATGGGAGAGCTGCTGGAGAGGTACAGGAACAGCACCTTCCAGGCGGCGCTCAAGCAGGCGCCCAAGACTCGCGCGCCGAAAAGGAGAGCGACAGCCACGGTGGAGTTATTTATCTTATTTTCCGGGGGTGCTTGAGGTTGGCAGGTCAGCAAGACCTTGCAAGTGAGAAGATTAGCCAGCTAGCGAGTAAGTAGGGTAGTGAGCTGGGAAGTTAGCAAGCTGATGTAGGAAAGTACGTTAGCAAGTTAGATGGAACGCGGTTTGGGTTTCTAAAGGTATGAAACATGTATGGCCCTGGTGGAAGTGTAGTGAATTCGTTCTGGAGCCAAGCCAACCCTCTCCCCCCTCCCCCGGACTTGCACTGCAGGCGAAATGGTTTTGCAGTCGTCTGGCGTGCCGGCTGAACAGCCAAGTGTTTGATTGCCTCGTTTCAACTTGGGAACTTGGCCAAGGTTCGATCGTTGACATGTTGCTCGGTGCTTTGAATGAATCGGGACCCCGACATGGTTATTCTGTTGGTTTCCCTTTACAACCACCCCACGCCCCAACCAAAACACCCATTTCAAAATGCATCTTCCTTGGAAGACCCTGCACCCCCAATCTGGCTCCCGGCCTCCCCCCAACACAAACAAGAACAGAAGCAAAAAGGTTGTGTTTAACCTGACTCGGTTTTTCTTAATAGTATCCGTAGCAGGGAACTTGCCATCAACCCGCCCCAGACTGGCACTTTTTTTCCCTGTGTGTTCGCGCCCGGCCACAGCAGCCGCAAGGAATGATTCCCCTCATTGACCTAAAGGGCCACCAGTTGCCACTGGCCACAGGCCACAACTTACACACTGGCTCCGCGGGTTAATTCAGGTATCTAGGTCCTTCAGCAGTGCCCTTTGACCAACTTGTTTGGGGGAGGGTTCCCCTACTAAAATCCACTACGGAAAAAAGGGTACCCTTATTCGAACCTCTCTACTGGAGGACTTTAGTCACTTTTCGGGTTTGGTTGCCATTTCTTGTCCTCCAGCAGTGCCCTTTGACCAACTTTTTGGGGGAGGGTTCCCCTACAGAAAGAAGGGTACCCTTTTTCGAACCTCTCTACTGAAGGACCTTGGGTTTGTTTGTGTGCTGCTTTGCGCAAGCGGTCACTGTGCGTAGGCCTCGGCCCTGTCTTAGGCTGCTGTGTGTATGTGTGGGTAGTCCAGTAGTTCGTTTTGCCATGCACTGACCAGGCACAGACATGAAGTCTTTTGCGGCAGAGGAAGAGGTGTCCCATCCACTCATCCACTGAGGCAGTTCCTGTGTGTTGGAAGAGGAAAAGCCTCCAGTTAGGGCCGTAAACAGCCTTAGAGTTGGATAGGTTGAGCGAAATTGACCATTGCCCCTGTTGAGAAACCAAAGGCTGCGTGTTTACCCTGCAGAACATGGAGCCCAAGAAACCCATCGATTTGTAGGAACGGCCCCTCCCTTTTTGGGCAACCTGTCTGTTAATTTGTGGGGGAATTGAACTTACCGGCTCTCCGCAGGTTTTGGACATGGACCTGAGGATCTTCAAAATATACATGCGTATATATACAACGTACGCAAGATACGGCCTTCTGTCTTCTTCTGAAAACTTGGTGGCTCCCAGCCATCCCCTTAGCGTTTTAGCCATTTCGTGTTTAGTGGTAGTTTCCAGTGAACCCACTAAAGGTTAGTCACTTTTAGCTGGGGATCTGAGGGCAGCCCAGAAAACATACGCTCACTCCGAAGCGGCGGATCATGCGAGGCCTATGCCGCCTGCGCGCGGCAGCGGCTTCCGCTGCAGGCGGCGCTGGGGCCTTTGGTGCTGCAAGTGCAGAAGCCCATCCTGGCGCCTCGACGCAGAAGGCGGCGATGGTTACTTGGTGGCTCCCACAAGAAGAAGGAGGGACCCTGGAAGAGGGTAACTTGGAAGTGGGAGATCAAGTTCCTGTAACATGGTTAGCATTTGTGGGAGGGAACCTGGAAGATCAATTTCCTCTTCAAGGGACCCTCTCACACGTGCCACGTTGGTGGGAGGGAGGGTACCAAAGGAAGTTTCGAAGGAACTTCAGTTCGCTGTTTGCGGCGACGAACTGACAGCTGGCTCGCTGAACGATGGGAAGCGCAGAATAAGCGCGCGAAAGTGCAGCCCCCTGCGGGTTTCTGGGGGCTTCGGGATGGTTGAAAGATAGCCTGATCGTGACGCCTGGTCGGAGCACTCTTGGGGCAGTGTTGGAGCGTGTCCCGCCTGACTGACAGAAGAGAAGGGCGCCCAATTGTTCCATGTCCAATGGCCTCTTGAAAAAGCAAGCTGTTGCCTAGCTCATGTCGCTCCTCTCGTAGGGTTGCAGGGACGTGCGTAGCTTCAAGCACACCAGCATACACCAGCTTTCAGAAAACGGAATGCGGAACATGTCTTGCTTCCGAATACTGAAGACAACATATGTGTTGCCGCGGCGCAGAGAAGGCACACTCTCAAACAGTTGTTCGGAGAGTTTGTGTCCACGGTCAAGTGCTTTGCCATGGTGCCAAATCTAGAGGTTACACGGCGGAATGGCCAACGTGCTGCTACACCCAACCGCCTGTCAGCGAGCTAGTTTTGCCCGTGGCTCATACAAGGAACCATTTTGAGGGCCATTGATCCATGATAGTCGCACATCTGTTTCTTGTGAAGTATTGACTGGTACTACTACGAGAGCTTCTCAAGTGTGATTACAGACTTTTGGTGCTCAAGGAAAACCAAGAGTTTAGGGGCAACTGTTTGAGAAACATCCATCTCCCAGACCCCCAGTCAAATGCCTTGTTTCCCGGTCTGGGATGAAGGGAGGGAAACATGAGGAGAAGTACACCCATACATCATGGGTTTGTCTCAACAAACGCGAGCTTCTTTTTTGTTTCTTTGGTTTGCCTTTCAAGCCGTCCAAAACGGCGACCCTCAAAACAGGACACCTCCATGCAGGTATCCTCCTTGGTTTAAAACAACACTTCTTTGGGAGGTTCCCCTTTTCGTTTGCACAAAAATAAACAACACCCCTTTGAAAGGATTCCCCTATCTGAAGACATTCTGCAGGGGTTTTAGATGGCTGTGGGTCAACAATGGGTACCCCAAATGGCTAAACCTGCGGTCCAATTCCTGGTGGTTTAATTTTGACCCATACCCAGATGCGCGGACGGGTGGTGAATCAGATCCTAGGTCCCCTTTTATTCTTTGTTGGGGGAGGGTTCCCCTACTAAAATAGACTACGGAAAAAAGGGGTACCCGTATTCTAACCTTTTTACTGGAGGACCTAGGATCGCATGTCGCTGAGGAGAAGTACGGGCTGCCAGGCAGCCCGCAGGGCGTGGAGCTCATGAAGCACGGCGTGCAGCGCCGCCCCGCGGCGAGGTTCTGGTTGCCCATGCTCCCTTGTTTTTTTTTGCGCCTCCCCTAGGTTTTTGGAGATAAAGCCATGTTGCCAGCCAAAGCCAGGGACCCTTGCTTTGTTTGTTTTGGAAATGCGGTGTTGGGGTTGCAAGCACTGGGGTTCCTGGCCCTTGTGGGCAGATGGGAAGCTTACCTTCAGGCCGCCTTTGTCCCAAATCCACAAGTTACAAGACAGGTGACCAAGGACTCAACGCCCACCGGGGTCCCGGAAAGATCCGAATCAAAAGGATCCCCCTGTGAAGCAGGTGGCTTTTGGGAATATGACAAACCCTTCAAGTTTCCGAGCCTCCACAGGTTGGTGCAATGAGGAACCCCTGGCTCAGGCGCAGAATCCTTTTGCCGGTCTTATGGCGAGCTCACCTGGGGAGAACCGAGCTGACCCGTGAGTAGTCTCCTTCACTAGTAGATCCCATTTTCGCATTGCAACCTTGGTGTATGATATGCGGTGCACGGGTTGTCATTTTTTTTTGTGGTGAACCAATGTTTGGATAGTTTCTTCAAACAGATGCACGCCAGGAAGTGAGTTGTTTCTCGGGACACCAAGAATCAAAGACCCCTCGGATCCTCGGATCCTGTGACAATTGTCCAGTCAGACAAGCCACCTCAGCAAAAGCTTATAACTGTGCGTGGGTCCATGGAAAGCCCCTTGATTTGGCAAAAAGTTGAAGTCTAAAGATCCAACCCAGTAGCACTCAAGAAATGGAATCGCACAGGAAGCCTGGGAGCTGACGTTAGTGAGGCCTCAAGGGCTTGCCCTGGACAAGCTGAAAGGACAACAAACCGATTCCCCTCATGTGACACCGGGATTTTTTGTACCACACAAAGTGGCAACCCTAAACTGAGGGTTGATTCCTCAGTTGTTTAAACCTCGTCATGTTCAAACAAATGACGAAAAAGGAAGAGATGCTCCAGGGGAAAAAATACCGACGTTCCACAAGCCAGCACCCAATGTGCAAATCCGACCGGGGACTTCTTCCATTGGGAAACCCAGATAGCGACTCTTGGGGGACAAAGGGAACCCTGAAAAACGAGCCAGAAAGGGTGGGCCCCAACTCAAAAAAGGCACATTCAGCCGGGTGAGTCTTTTCTCGAGCTCGTCTCCCTATTTTCTGCTTGAGGGGAAATAGCAGGAACCCCTCACCCATTTTCCGAAGCTCGCTTGCCCAGAGCGATTCGACCTTTTCACCTTTCGACGTTTCCTGATTTGGCAGTGGGTGAAAAATAGATACCCAGAACGGTAAATGGACACGTGGACAAAAACTTGCGCTCTGGTGGTTAATTTTGACCCATACCCATTTGGTATACTTCTAGGGCACCTTCTCCACTCTTTACAGGGATTGTTTTTTCCGGACACCCAGGGAAAATGGCTGGTTTTTGGAAAGAACGATGCTTGAAAATAATGGGGAATCAACCCCTAGAATATTGTGGATTGACAACATTCTACACCAGTTCAGTGGTTTGTCCCGTTATGGGGCTTCATTGATCCCGGCCGGCGCAAAGCGGATTTCCTCGGGGATGGTTGCGGTCATTCCCTTTCAGATTCTCTGCTGAGACCCAAAAAATAGCTACCCCAAGATGGAACCCTGGCAAGGGGACACCCTCCAAATCCAAAGAGACCTTTGGTGCGTTTTCATCTTGACCCATACCTCTCCTTTTTTCCTCCCCCGCCGGTGCTTCTTTTCGAGCCCCGTGCCAACCCCCACGCTCCGAACATCCGCTCCGCTTTTCGAGGCATCTGCGAGGGCGCCCGGCGCCTGCAGGATCTCGCCAACGCCGCCCGGGAGGCGGCGGATGGGCGGATGGGCGGATGCGGCGGCTGGGCCGGGCAGGGCTGGTGCCACCGGCCGCCCGAGAAAAGTCGACCAAAAACGAAGGGCCCCCCCCCCCCGTTTTTTAAAATGATTCGAGGGTTGTTTCCCCCCTTTTCCCTGAGATGGGGGGAAGTTTTTTCACTCTTTCTGCTGGTCAGAAAAAAAAACAACAGTTTTGGCGGTTTCTTGGGCGGAACAAATCTGGCCGGCCTGCACGGAGCTGGCTTCAGGCCTGTTGGAACTCCCTTCTGGAGGTGAATCTTTGGGGTCTTTGTATGTCAGAGGAGTGAGCTGACGAGCTGACTTGCCTCACCACAGGCAAATTCATGGTTGTTGTTGGCAAACATGTTAATTTGTTTTCCTTATTGCGGTTTAGTGGGAGATCCCCACTGAACTGCTAAAATCCAAGGTCAACCAAGAATGTTACTCCCTGCCTTTCTGGGCATTGAGCGTTTTGGGTATGACAAATGCCGCAGCCAATCCGTGAACCTTGAGGCACGGAAGCAAGCCGTGGGCAGGGAGTGGTAGTTTCTACTTCCAGTTGCTCAACTTGGTGGTTCACAGGCGTCCGGCTCCTTAGGTTTTTAAGGTTTTTAAGTTTTTTAGGGTTTAGTGGGGGTTTCCATTTAATCCGCGAAAGTTTGGGGACTTGAGGACATCCCAGTTAAGTGTTATTTGTTTTTGGTGAAGTTTCCCCCTGTGGGTTTTGAAGCGCACCTATCACTACTCGACAGAATGTTTATTTTGCCAGGCGACTTCAGAATTGTTTGCTCCCGGGCAGATGGTCATGGCATGACTGGCTTGGGCAAATGCTTTCGGGAGACGTTTGCTTTGATCCAGAATCCACGTGAGCAACGGTCAATACTTGCCCGTCCTCCAGGGTGGTAAAGGGGATGGCAAGAGGCACACTCACCAAAGTACCATCGCGAATTGGGGCTTGCTCACCAAAACATCCAACATCAAATGGACACACAATAAATGAATAAACATGGGAGTTTCTCTTCTTCTTCTTTTTTGGGGGTGGGGTTCCCCCTCATGTGCTCCAGTTTTCTCTCTCTTTTTTTAAAGAAACTCCGCCCCTTCGGGCACCGAATTCGAGCGCTTGCGCTTCACCGAGCGCCCCGAAGTCGAAGCTTCGAGGCGCTGGGCATCGAGCAGCTGCCGAGCCGCGAGGTCTCGGCGGAGGAGCAGCTGGCCAAGAGCGCGGACGACACGGCGCGGTGCTTCGTTCGGCCGAGCCGCCGGGCGCGCCGAATGCGTCGAAGTCGGGACCACCGCGCCTAGGTCACCCTGGCTAGGTGCCCTTTCTCACCCCTCTTTTGGTTGGGAGGGTTCACCTACTAAAACAGACTACAGAGAAAAGCTGGTACCCTTATTCTACCCGCTCTACTGGAGGACCTAGGCGCGGTTCGGCGCGGGGAATTCGATTCGCGTGAGGTAAGGGATGGTCTTAAGGCTTAAGCCATGGTGTGGATGGATGGTTGCGAAATCCTCTTAGGCACCACGAAATGAACCCATGGTTGAAACCATAAGGTCTGTCGGGGGTTTCTTAGGTGGTGCGAAATGGATTTCGTCCATCCACAGTAGTGTAAGTAAACCAACGTTATTTCATCATAGGAGAAAATATTTGGCAGGTATCTATGTATTGCAAGTAAACACCACCGTACCTTTACACTCAGATTCCCGTCACCACACAATCGTGGTACATCGTGATGAATGGGAGGATGTCTTGGCGAGGGCCAACCGCTGGCTAAACATGGTCTAAACACCACCATGTGCTTTGTTTGAGGAGAGTCAAAAAGGAAAAGCACAACTTTGAGGGTTCCCCCATTTGGACAAACACACACACACACACACATGGTGAAGGTGGGTTTTCAGCGTGCCTGTCAACGTGCAGGCCAAGACTTTGCCGAGAAAGCACATGGAGGTGTAAAATCGTCAGAAGCGCACGTGGCGCATCCTGCACAGTTGTAGCACATCCCCCACGATGGTGTTGTCATTTTGGAGCATTTTGTCCGGGCGAAATAGCTCAATGATGAAGCATCCTTGATGGCTTTCAGGCTTTCTTGCACAAGTTGCCAAGCACACGGAGCATGCTCCCGCTGCATGGTGTGAAGCCACTGCAACGCAGGGTGCCGGACGGGCTCCGGCACCTGAAACATGGCAGACCGCTGTGGTTTTAAAGAAGCTGCTGATCTCTCGACATTAGGCCATGGCCTGGTTTTTTTTTTGTTTTTTTTCTTTTGGTTGAGCCTTCAATGCCTCGGCTACATAATTTTGCCAGTTCGGCTCAAAACTCATGAATTTGCTTGCGTTTCAAGGGTTTCCGATGATAATTTGGGGCCCATTGTCCCCTGATTGTCAGGATTTTTACACCAGAAAAGGGATTGCACGCATGAGCAGATGGGAGTTTTCCAAGCAGGTGTCGTCCCCGAGGAGCAAGCCTCCACCCCCAATCGACTTGCAAAACGGGCCCATGTAGCGGGATTCTTCTGAGACTATGAGCTACGAAGACCACGCCAGGTGAAGGTCAAGGCAGAGTTCCAGCCCCAAATTGCCTCCGCCCTTTTCACTCTTTTGGCTAGATTCTTTCAGCACTGGGGAGAGTTTCACGCAGGGAGTCCCCTAAGTAAGAGGTTTTGCTTCCCACCTCGTGCCGCCGCAGGCGGCACGCTTCGGCGCCACCAAAACGCAGCTTCGGGATCAGTGCCTTGAGCTGCTGGACCAGGCCACGGCCAAAGGCGCCGAGTCGCCGAGTCCGGCGATGGATTCGAAAAGGTCGATGGATCTGTCGGTCGATGGGTCCGGAGCTGAGGTGGGGTGATGGATGGGTTGAAGCATGTTTTTGGCTTGGGGGGGATAGGTGGAGACATGTTTTCAGCTGGGGGGGGACACCCCAAAGGCGCGCTGCGATTTTTTTGGTTGTGGGTTTTTTTTCATGCTAGGGACCTCCCGGCAGGTTACATGTTCAGGGTATAGGCATGACGGTAGAAGTTGACACGTTGGTCGGGTTCTAACAAACAGGGTTCCTTCCAGATGTGAACAAATACATGGGTATGTGTTTTTTTTGAGGGACCCCAAATTTGGCTTTCCTTTGGGTGCCCTGCAGGCCAACAAGAGTACCATCAAAGAAGACACACCCACACTGTCCTTTGGCGCAAGAATCGAAGCCCGCGTGTGAGACTCCATTGAACGGGTCCCCTGGCTTTTATTGCCGCATTTCCAACAATCATGGAAGTGGACAGGAGGAGATGATGGTTGTCTTCCAAAACTCTCCGATAGTCCGCTTCTATGTTTTTGCTGGAAGGGCATTTCCCCTAACCTGCATGGTGTTCCTTTTTTTTGGTTGAGCCCTAAGGCAAGTCAGGACATCCAGAACCTCAAGTTGCGTTTCAACGCCTCCTTTCTACTAGCTTTGCTAGTGTTTTTTTTGCCTGAGGCCAGGGGACAGATGATCAGGTCACGGTCTGTTTCCCTCGAACTCAGCCGGGGGAGCTCAATGTGAAGAATTTGACTGGTTGGTAATCAGTTTTATTTGTGGGGGGGGGGTATGATTCGTTCGAAGGAGGCTATGTTTCAAAAGCTTCTATGAATCGGCGAACTCATCAAACATTCTGGCTTTAATATGGGAAGCAAGTCACTAAATGGGGTCCCACAGTTCCACGAGTTGACTGGGTTCATACAGTCTGCCTGTTCCATGGCGAGGTTTCCTGGGCGGGAAAGCCATGCTGTAGGTCCTTTACCTGGGGAACCAATTCTAGCGATTCTAGTTTCCGGTTTTGGAGCTATTCCAGGATTTGTCGACAACACAGCCACCCGCTGTGCTTCCAAGCCAAAGGTGTTGCTTGACTTCCTCAGTTAACATGTCCCTTTCTTCCGGCAAAGCAAGCAGCTGCTTTCGGCACCTTCTGGTTTCCTAGGTCACCAGTTCCTTTCTTCGACCAAAAAAGGCACCTGCTTTGAGCACCTGCGTTTCCCAGACCTCCCAGTTCAATCTCCGAAGAGCTGAACCCCCCCTATCAAAGCAGCGCAACCACTTCCCTCCCTCGCGCGCGCGGGGGGGGGGGGGGGATTGGCCAGGCACCCTGCCAAAGGCTTCGGCGAGGTTTCTACACGAGCTGCTGGACGATGAGGCCGCGGTGCCCTCGGTGCTGTGCCTCTTCCGGACCGATGTGATCGGTCGATCTCGATTGGTCGGGCTCGAATCCGAATCCGGGGCGTTTAGTGGCCACCCCAAAGCGTGTGCCTTTTTTTCTCGGGGGGGACCCCCAATGGTGGTTTTCCTTTTGGATTCAGTTGGTTTCCCGTTAAGGGGACTGGTTTTCCTTTTGGCTTCCCTTTAAAGCATCCAACATGCCCTCAGACAAAGATACACCCACATGGTGGTACCGAGAATATTTCTGGGTCCAAACTAGGCTCTCGTGACTTGGCTTACTGGTCAAAAAGCGGCCGCGTGGCACAATGCCCCCCTGAGCATACCCCCAAATGAAAACTGACCCAGGGATGGATCCTTAACGGTACATTCGTCCATTTGCTTAAGAACATGTGTTATTTTTCCCTGCTGGTTTTCAAGGGACTCTATCACTACTGAGAGGGGGAAAACACCCCCATTTCGTCCAGGGGGCGGAACCGGACGCATTTTGGTTTGGATTGGATCAACGGCTCAGCATTCCTTGCGCGGACCCTTTCAGCAGGATGGCGCAGCTGGGGGTGGAAGCGCGGCTGCTGCGGGGCTCGGGCGTGCCCAAAGAGGCGCCAGAAGTCTTCATCACGCTTGTTGTTGGGAAACAATTTGCATTTTTGCTTATTGTGGTTTAGTGTGAAATCCACACTTAACTGCTAAAATATAAATGTTGTCCCCCTTCCAACGTCAACCAAGCCATCTTACCCCAGAAAAAGAAAAAAAACAGAGCCTGCCCTGCTTATTTTCTCATGGCTGTGCAAAGCCCCTGGGTTTAGTAAACGTCGTCACTTCTGGGGGGAAACAACCCCCCTGATAAGCCAAGCTTTCTGTTCAGACTTTGAAGCTTCAATCTTCTTGGTCAAGGGTCTACAGGTTTGCACAGAGTATAATAAACCTTGGGAACAACATCAGTTTGTCCGGTTGACTGGGACCAAAGTGACATCCAAAGTACTGACCTCATGATTCTGCCAGTCTCAATGTCACCCAAGGTTGTGTAAAGAGAAACGAGCCGGGTTTCTGACTTGGATACCCCGAAATGGTCAAGATCGTGATCTCAGAATGATGCTCTGAATAGTGGCTTTAATGGATGTATGGAGGGGGGAGAAGAACCTCTATTGCGGGGTCCAATTCCTACTTCAGGTCTTGGAATTGAAGACTTGTGGGGAGCCTCTTCAAACAGGCAACTTTAAGTGACGCAGGGTTTATCTCGAAGGAATCGGAATACCCACGTCTGGTTTCCTGTGGCTTCCCGCTAAACTAAAACCCCAGAAAAGGGGCTACCCTCCAAAACGCCGCATACAGCACTGGTTGGATCCCATGCCTTTTATTCTCTTTGTTTTGTTGAATGCTGATTATATTACAGCCTTCCTATCAAAACATCTGTAGCCTTAGCATCAAACCTGACAAAGGACGTATTGCTAATTCTACTAAATATTGATTTACCTTTTTCGCTCTGCTGCATCCGGCGAGGTGCCAGTCCTGCAGGAGGCGCCGTGTGAGGAGTTGCGGTCCTATGTGCTGTCCGGCACCCCGGTGGCAGCTCGGTGGAATCAGATCGGACCCTTATCTCGGTCGTTGGGACACATTTTACATTTTTGCTTCTTGCGATTTAGTCCGAATTCCCCACTTAACTCCTAAGATTTAATTTTTTGCTCCCCTTCCCCCGTCAACCAAGATATTTCCACTCGTTCGAGAATTGCCACTGCCACTCTCCGGCGGGTTTGAAGGCTACAATTTCGGGGAGTTGGTTCTGCTGCCCGATTCGTTCGCCTGTGTTTGCTCCACGAACTTTTTGAGGGAAGCAATCTCTGGAAGTATTCGGACAGAATCCAGGCGGCTTGAAGCAAGGGTGTGTCTCCTTTTGGCTTCTGCATTAAAGCCAACCAACAGTTGGCACCCAGAAATAAAAGCTGGTAGGGCGGCGAATCTCATCTGACCAGGGTTGGGACATGGTACTCAAACAGCAAACTTGGAACTCAGACAGAGTTTTTAGTTCCAGCTTGCAGGTACCAGCGACAAGCACCAAGTTGCCCTGAAAGCTTTGTAGGGGCTACTTGGGTCTTCGATTTGCAAACTTAGTAAGTCTTAGCCCAGTCAGAACTCCCAGTTGAAAGTTAACCCCGTTAGTGGGTTGGCTAACTACTTACTTGGCAATGAACATCCAAGCACCTACTTGGGGAAATTCCAGCTTGATGGGGATCCAAATCTCCGATTATCTGATCTCCAATCAAGCAGCGCTGATTGGGGACCAATTTTGCTTCTCCAAATGAAAGAGCCCTGGTCGACCTCTCGGTTTATATGTTGTTTTCAAAGCTTACTTGGTTGAACGTGTAGTATTCCCCACTGGGAGGCTTTTCACTTTGCAACTCGCAAATTCAGAGCAACCCTAATTGGACGCCCCTCATTTGTGGCTTTGCACATCATGAACAATGCGCTCGGATTCGAATCCACCCCAGCACTCGGACCGCGTAAGCCACCCTCCAGAGACTCAGAGACTCACTGAGGAGGGAGCAGAGGAACCGCTTGACCACCCTTGGGCCCACCCATTGTGGCAAACAGGTTTTATAGCTTCATAGCCGTATAGCCACATTCTGTGATGCCAAGTATTCCTTCGCAAGACCATGATTTGCAATGTCTTGCTTTTGGTATCAACCTTGTTGAAAAGGCTTATGATGTCGTGTTGAAAGCTTGGAACGGCAAAGGCTTGGTTTGATGTCGTGTTGAAAACTTGGAACCCAGCCTTTGGGCTCCGAAGCCCGACGTCTCCAGGTGGTGCGGGGGGCCTTCGTTGCGGACAAAGGCTTTGGCCCCGCCAAAGCGCTGCCGGACTTTGACTTCTTGCGAAAGAAGTGCAGCCACCGGCGCGCCCGAGCCCGAGGGAGGGTTGTGTGATTGAAATATCGCCTGTGTCATGTTGAAGCAAGTTAGTTGCCCTTGGGGGGGGGGGTGATGTTCAAAGAGGACAGATAAGCAACTGGCACAGCAACTTGTAATCTAGTGTGCCACTCCTGTCAGCGGAAAATGATATTGGCATGTGTCAGAATAGGGGAACCCGAAAAAGTGCAGCGCCCTTTTTCGCACACAAAGCACACCACACAAACACACACATGCACACGAACACAACCACACACAAGCATATAAACAAACACACACACAAAAGCAAAAGCACAAGCACGAGCACAAGCACAACCACAGACATAAACACAGACACACACACACAACACACAAACACGAACACGAACACGAGCACACACACAAAGACAGCACACGCACACACACGCACACGCACACGCACACGCACACGCACACGCACACGCACACGCACACGCACACACACGCACACACGCACACACGCACACACGCACACACACACACACACACGCACACACGCACACACGCACACACGCACACACGCACACACGCGCACACGCGCACACGCGCACACGCGCACACGCGCACACGCACACACACACACACACACACGCCCAAACACACACAACCACACACAGCCAACCAAACACACACAAACTCACAAACCCACACAAGCACAACCACAGACATAAACACAAACACGAGCACACACACACACAACCACACACAGCCAACCAAACACACACACACACACAAACACACAAACGCACACAAGCACAACCACAGACATAAACACAAACACGAGCACACACACAAAGACAGAAGCACACACACACACACGTCCACACACACAACCACACACACAACAACACACAACAACACACAACAACACACACAACCACACACACACAACCACACACACAACCACACACACAACCACACACACAACCACACAAACAACCATACACACAACCACACACACAACCACACACACAACCACACACACAACCACACACACAACCACACACACAACCCCACACACAACCACACACAACCACACATACAACCGCACACAGCCGCACACAACCACACAACCGCACACAAACACACAACCCACACAAGCACAACCACAGACATAAACACAAACACTAGCACACACACACACACAAAGACAGAAGCGCACACACACACACAACCACACACAACCACACACACACACAACCACACACACAACCACACACAACCACACAAAAAGACACAAACCGACACATAAACGAGAGCGAGCACACACACAAAGACAGAGGCACACACACACACACACACACGCACACACACACACACACACACACACGCCCACCCACACACAATCACACACACGACCACACACACAACCACACACACACACAACCACACGCACACACACACACACACTCACAAGCACACACAACCCACTCACACAACACACAACACACAACACACAACACACAACACACAACCACACAACCGCACAACCACACAACCACACACAACCACATACATAAACATAAACGAGAGCACACACACAAAGACAGAGGCACACACACACACGCACACGCACACGCGCACACACCCGTGTACACCCCAGACACACACACCCACACCCACGCGCACACGCACACGCACACACGCACACACGCACACACCCGCACACACACATACACAACCACACACACGACCACACACAACCACACACACACAACCACACACACACACACTCACAAGCACATACAACCCACTCACACAACACACAACACATAACACACACACACACACCACACCAAACCACACAGCACAGCACGGCACAACATCACACAGTACCTCACGCAGACACACAACACACAACACAGCGACACACACACAACACAAGCACACAACACGCACACATAGCTCATGATTGGGGTGTCACCCAGGGTATCCGAAGGTGAACTCCCAAAACCACTCTTGATTGCCTATGACAAGACGTTTAAGTTGCAAGCAAAAAAAATTGGACTCCGTTTGGCTAATCAACTCCCGTAATTGCCCAGAACGCTCCCGGCTGCTGTGTAAAACCAGGCAAACCGCAAGTTTGTTCGTGCGAGCCACATCGCAAACGGCAGGTGTTGCTGGGGAGGGGTGGGGTGGGTGGACGTGTTCAGGCTTTCTTTGAATGTTTGTTTGGTCCGAGGCAACCACTATCACATGCAAAGCTGGCACTGGGCTCATGAATGTGTTAGCTCTGCCAGATGCCAAACATTTAGCACAAGTCCATGCAGACTCATTTCGAATGCTCGATAATGTTGACCCAGGATTAATAAACCCGTCCCATTATTGGAGGGATGTTCCCTCCAAAAGTCATGAATCCCCACCAAAAGGGGACACCCCCCTCAATCAACCAGGGGTTGTTTAGTCCGGGGTTAACACTAGCGCCAAGTGCTGGACTCTTGCTGCTCTCGGGCGGGTCGCTGGTTTCAGCTTGTTTGCAGGTTGCCTGAGGTGCCACACCGTGGTTTGTCTACGGCTGGCGCGCGCTGACACTGTTTGGGCTCATCTCGCTTTTCTAATCTGGCAAGCCAAGAAGAAGGATAAAGCCAAAGCCATCATCACAGCAATACACTCAGAAACTCAACATCAGACGCGCTGACCTTCCCGCGGAAATACTTGTGAACATGAGCAGTTGAGCTCAGACAAATGAAACGGTGATGCTGCAAGCGTGATGCTGCTTAAGATGCTTGCTGCAAGTTCAGGAGTGCTCAACTAGTCAGATTTCACGAAGTCAGTTTTGGCCGTTGAGCTTCATGCTAGGGGGGTTCTCACTTGACGCGTGTTTTGCGCACAGGGGTGGTCGACTCAGGAAGTGGGTGCGGCGCAAAACCACTCAGTTTCTGTTACGCAGGCTGTAGTCTTACATTTTTTAATTTGCCAGGGTTCCATTTTGCACCCCTCTTTCTGAGCCACAGCCAAGTGGAATCTCAGTGAGATCTGAATTCACCGAGGTCTTAGTCAAGAGCCTAGGTTTCCAGGACGCCTCGGGGCGTGCGCAGTTCATGACCGATCCCGTGGCTTGGCTGGCGAATCGGGGGCTGGAAGTTTCGATTTCACGCGGCCGTGGGTGAAATCGGGGGTTCTCAAAATGGTTGGTTTCCCTTGGGCGACTTGTTGAGAAGGCATTTTTTTTGATTGCTTTGGGTTGGTATTTGAAGGGAACCCCGAGGGGACCGCACTATTTTGACACCACGGCTCCCGGGGAAGCAAAAGCAGGAGCTCGCCTGATTCGCAAAGCTTCTCCAAGAGTACAGATCAAGTACGGATGGGGTATGCACCTAAGGATGTGAATCAGCCACTTCGGTGGACGGGCAATTTTTAGTTTAAAGTTTAAGCTTTGGAAGATGTGTGCAGAAAAGGGAGGGCACTGGATTCAGTTTGGACGGAATCTGTGACTTGGCCAAGTCTCAGCCTCATGTCCATTTTGTTTCATCCCATGTGCTAACCGTTTCTAGACAACGGTTTTGTCACGCGCCTTTGGTGCTCACCTAAGAAGGTCGCTTACTCGGTATATTCCTTACTTGTTTTGGTTGCTGCGTCAAACAAGTTTGCCCAGAAAACTGCCTTCCGGAACACTTTAGTTGTTGCCTCCTTACACCTGCCTTTTGAGAACAGGCTTCCCCAAGCAAGCCCGCCCCAGAGGCTTTGTGAAGCCTCATGTCGGGAAAAAAAGAAAAAAACGCCACCGGAAATTCTACAGGACCTCGCAAGAATTGCTAGGACTTCTTGTACTGTATATTGTCCAGCTGCTGACTTCTTTGTTTATGGGTTTGTCTCTGAATGGGGCCTTCCTAAACTGGTGTTTTTTTGTTGGTTCTCTTATCCGAATAGCCAACAAAGGAAAATACTACAAGGGGCTGAATAATTTCTCACATGGTCATGACTTATTTTAGTTGTTTGGTTCCGGATCCCCACACCCTCATTTGTTTAGAATTATTCCTCCCGTCACATGACCCACAAAAAGCGGATGGCAGGTTTTTGGGGGCGGGCAAACGAGCTGACCATTTACCGCGTACCGACTCGCAAGGTTTGCAACATTTTGAGGTTTCCCATCACCAGCTAGATCGGGTATCTGCTCTTCACAACCCTGGAGTAAGCAGAACAGGTTGATTGATACGGACCACACTTGCGAGTGTCTGGGGTTATGATTTTGACAGTTTCCAGGGGGTACAAGGTGAGATAGGAAGTGGGGGTTGGCTCCCTAGCTAGCCAGGTTGCTGCTTCGTTCAGTCACTGTTACTGGCTGTCGGGGTTTTCAGTGGATGGCAAAAAGCGAAAACACGATCGCAACAGGATTTCGATCCAGGCGCTTCGAGGGGGATGGCAAAGATAAAAGCATTCTAATTCGAATCCTTGGCTTGTATCTTTCTTCTTTGGTTTTATGATTGACCTTTCTTTCATCTCTTTAGGGGTCTTTGGTCCAAAAACATCTGAAGCCATGGCTCGCCCATGCCGAGCGCCGAGCGCGGCTCGCGAGCCAAGCCAAGGAGCTGAAGCTGCCCTTTGCGGCGTACCTCGATGCGGTGGAGGCCTGTGAGGAAGGCGAAGCCGCGAATGGGTCGAATGGGAAGAAAATGCGGTCGAAGTTGCGCGGGGACGGACGGATTTTGTGGTGTGTTGTTTTCCCCCGGCCAAAAGCTATTAGGGCTCTTTGTATCGCCCAGATAGGCGATGAGGGGTGGGAAGTGTGGTTGGCAGCTTTCAGGAGTTTGGAGGTTCCGGGGACATATGATTCGTTTTTATTGTTGGGCAGGGGCACCCATACAAGCGACCAAAGTCCAGCAACTCAGGCAGTGAGACAACATGAGGGAGACCATTCTGGGTCTGTTTTTCAGGGTATTCTTAAAATGATGGTTTTGCTGTTGGTTTTCCTTGAAACCAACCCCAAAACAAGTGGGACATATATACACACATGTCGGGGTGTGTGTCAGAGGGTTTCCGATTAAAATCCACACCCATGTGTGTGTGTGTGCGGAGTGGCAGAATACCCTGCCACCAAACCTTTTTCTGCAGCAGGGGGTGCCAGGGGCAGAGCAAGGCTGGCACCAACGAAGACCTTTGCTCTTGCCTGTGATATCAATCTCGGACGCGAGATTGACGTACCTGCACCAGTGATTCAAAGTCCTTTTGGCCCGTTGTTTCTTTCGCTGTGTGTGCTTCATGTTGAACCTTGTAATGTTTTCGACACTAGAGAGAAGCTGAGTGCATCGCGAGCCGAAACTCATCGTACTCGAGACTTATCAGTTGTACTCGAGACTCATCAGTTGTACTCGAGGCTCATCAGTTGTACTCGAAAGATTAGCACCCTCCCTTGGGAGTTGAAGTGTGACTACCCCAGTTTGGGGGAACCTCGGGTGTACCCATCGTGTGACCCCGGGCCGGTTCGCCGGAAAATTTGACCTCAACGTTCATATCATAGTCCAGCGGAATTTCACGTTTAAGCAGGAACGAGGTTTCACTAAAGGGAAGACAGCCACCAGATCATAGTGACGTCTCACCCTTCTCTTTTTTCTCGCCTTCGTCTTCCGCGTGCCCGTCTTCTGGTTCTTCGCCCGCCTAGGGATGGCTTCTCCTTCCTCCCGTTCTCTTCTTGCTGCCTTTCGTGACCTGCGCGTTCGTCCTCCTCTTCTTCGCCCGCTTAGGGATGGCCTGGTTGTCCTCGCGTTGTGCACCTTTTTCCTTGTCTTCGTCTTCTTGTCCGTCTACCTGTTCCTACTCCTCTTCTTCCTCACGTAGTTTGGCTTGACGTCTTCTTCCCCTTCCGTTGCTATTTCGTGTCCGTCCTCTTGGCCCCCGTGTGGGATTCGACGTCTTCCTCCTCGAGCCTTGGTCTTCATCCTCTGTTCCTGTCTGGGCGGGATGCGTCGCCCTAAAAACGCATACTACATCCCTCTTCCTCTTCCTCTTCCTTCTTCCTTCTTCCTTCTTTTCTCCTTTTGTCTCCTTGTCTTCTGCTTCTTTTCTTTGCTTTTCTTTTTTCTCCTTTCTCCTCTCCCCGGGCGGGCTGCGGCGCCCTAAATACGCATCTCGCTCCCTTTGTCTTCGTTTCTCTCCTTCTTCTCTTTCCCTTTCTTTCCTCTCTCCTTGCCCCAGGCGGGCTGCGGCGCCCTAAATACGCATCTGGCCCCCCTTTTTTCTCTTCTTGTTCTCTCTTTCTCGCGCTCTCTCTTTCTTTCTTTCCCTCTTTTCTCCTCCCTCTTTTCCAACTACTTCCTGTTGTTCCTCTTCGCCCGTTTAGGGATGGCGTGTTCGTGGTGTCGTTCTTCAACTTCGCGGTGCTCTTCTTCTACCAGGTTTAGGAGGGTTTCTAGGCTGTTTGGGGTTCTTTGCCCTCGGCGGTGACCCTAAACTCGGGTTCCCCTGTTTTTCGTGTTTCTTGGTTGGGTTTTGCCCGCGGAGACCCAACGTGGGGCCTTTCTGTTTCCTTTGTTTTCCTGCTCTGTTTGTTTTCTGTTGGGGTCTTCGCCCGGTTTTGGGGCGCGTGTTTCCCCCCCCGAAAAAGTGGTTCTCGCCTCTCTTTGAGGGGCGTGTGTGTGCGGAGTGGCAGAATACCCTGCCACCAAACCTTTTTCTGCAGCAGGGGGTGCCAGGGGCAGAGCAAGGCTGGCACCAACGAAGACCTTTGCTCTTGCCTGTGATATCAATCTCGGACGCGAGATTGACGTACCTGCACCAGTGATTCAAAGTCCTTTTGGCCCGTTGTTTCTCTCGCTGTGTGTGCTTCATGTTGAACCTTGTAATGTTTTCGACACTAGAGGGAAGCTGAGTGCATCGCGAGCCGAAACTCATCGTACTCGAGACTTATCAGTTGTACTCGAGACTCATCAGTTGTACTCGAGACTCATCAGTTGCACTCGAAAGATTAGCACCCTCCCTTGGGAGTTGAAGTGTGTGTGTGTGTGTGTGTGTTTGGTTGGCTGGCTGGCTGGCTGGCTGGCTTGCTTGCTTGCTTGTTTGTGTGTGTGTGTGTTTGTTTGTTTGTTTGTTTGTTTGTTTGTTTGTTTGTTTGTTTGTTCGTTGCCATTTACACATCCGGGTTTGCAAAGGGTTTCAACATTGTGAGGTTCCAACCAGCCGATCGCTAACGCAAGGGGAACCCAGAGTTGAGGGTAAAAGAAGCAAACCCCTCGGCAAACGAATCGACTTCCTTTAAGCCAACCTGAAAAAGCGTACCTTGAAATCCATTTCCTGCTATCCGCTGGAGACACCTGTGCCTGAAAAACATGCCCTTGCTGACATATTGCAAGTAAACCAATCACCAACCCTGGGAGTTTTCCCCGGGTTTCCTTTCTTCAACCATAATTTAGGGCAAAAAAACCCTCCAAAAACCGACCTAACCAATTTAGGGCACCTCCGCACCTTACCAAAAACCCGAGCCCTACCCAATTTCTGGGCATCCGAGAGGAAAAACGGCGAAAACAAGGCCCTCCCAAAAAAACGAGCCCTCCCAATTTCAGGGCATCCCAGAAAAACAGCTCTCCCAAAAAACCAGCTTCCTATCCCAAAAAACAAAACCGACCCAGACCTATAGCCCCTGGCTCAGTTGCCTCGAGGCGGGCGGGCGATGCCCTACTACATGGGCAAGGTGCCGCTGCGCGCGGAGCTCCCCGAGCTGGCGGAGGAGGTGGAAGGGGCGAGCACCAGCCCGCAGAAGGCGGGAGCCACGGGAGCCGCCCTGGGAGCCATAGGGTGGCTCGTCGGTTTCTTTGAGGCTGGGTGAGCCCTTTTTCTTTGGTGCATTTTGCCAAGGGATGTTAGCACTTTAACTTTTTGCCAACTAATGGGTTTTCCCACTAAACCACTAAAAATTAAACTTTGAGCAGGGGAGCAGAAAGCAACCGAGTTTTGTTGTTTGGGTTTCTTCTTTTTTCGGGAAACCAAAAGGAACACGCATTCTTGTAGGGGGCACCCCTGTTTTATGACACCCCAAGTTTGGTTTCAGACGATTCGTGTGTTTTTCCAGTGATGATTTTTGAAGGGAATGCATCACTACTGGATACACGTTCTCATTTGTTCCTGGAGGTTTAAGCAAATGGTTCACCTTCTTTTTGGCAATTTTAGTGCGTGGTTCGACTACCTAGCCTTTAGTTATATGGCCTTTGTTGAATTTTTGCAACCATCTTGATGGAACCAAACGTTTCCCACTCAGTTGTTAATTCTTGCCCGGCCACTCGATTGATGAACATCTGGTTTTCGGGAAGCATACTGACTAAGAGGTATCCATTCGATCTAATATAACCATCGATCTATGGGGTGATCGATCGATCTATAAACATCCACCCACCCACCCATGCATCCATCCATCCACCCACTCACCCACGCACCCACCCACCCACCCCACCCCACCCCACCCCGCCCAGCCCAGCCCCGCCCCGCCCCACCCCCGCCCCGCCCCGCCCCACCCCGCCCCACCCCACCCCACCCCACCCACCCACCCATACATATATGCATGCATGCATGCATGCATGCATGCATGCATACATACCTACATACCTACATACATACATACATACATACATACATACATACATACATACCTACCTACCTACATACATACATACATACATACATACATACCTACATAACCTACATACCTACATACCTACATACCTACATACCTACCTACCTACATACCCACATACCTGCATACCTACATACCTACATACCTACATACCTACATACCTACATACATACATACATACATACATACATAAAATTGTCTCTCCCACTTATCTATCCATCTATCCATCCATCCGTCTATCCATCTAGCTCTTCTGCCAGGAGTACGGCAGCTGCTTCGGCGAGCTCTTGCCGGAGGGGGTCTTCACCTACTTCGGCTGCGGCCGGAACTCCACCTCCGTGCACTACGACTGCCACGAGTCCCTCCGGCGGCAGAGCGCGGAAGTTGGGAAAGGGGAACTCGGAAAGCCGCACGATGACTCACTCCCTGAGGACCGCAACCTTTCTGGGAAGACCAGTTTCGTGGCAAGCGAAAAGTTTGGACGTTTCGCTGGGCATCAGGAAGTGAGATGCAACATGGGCCAACGGTTTCCAATCGCCAGCCAGTTATTGCACGGACCCGTACATAAAGTCCTGGAATGAACCACTAGTATGTTGCTGCAGACGTTGAACGTTGTCGCTTGGTCCCATTTTGTGCCGCATTCAAGAAGGTCCGCAAGGGGGCTGCCGTCATTTTGACCACCACCCCTGCTGCCAACTCAGAGCCACGATTCCATGGGAACCCCGGACTTTGGTCAGGCTCCCTCCATTTCCCTTTTTTGGGCCTCCCAAGGTGGCAACATTTGGTTGGAACCCACCAGTAAACTGCAACTTCTGAAGGGATTGAAGGGGAAAGCCGGTGACCCCTGTGAGTCACCTGTTTGGGTTTGGTTGGCATTTTAGTGGAACCAGTTGTTTTTGTTGTTGCCATTCCAGTCCATCGGAAAGCAAGTAGTGCGAGAGACCATAGGGTCCCATCCCATGCCCAACACCCGCCCTCCAGTTTGTGATGTGATTTTGTATGACCTCACTTGCCCCAAAGCCGACCTTCTCACCTTTTTGTTGTCCCTTTGCGCAAATTTTTACTCTTGGACTCTTGGCCCCCAAATCTGAACCTTTTTTCTGGCTCCTTTGGGCAACTGAGTGACAGCTGCCGGGCTTTGCACATTTGGATGCTGAGCAAGAAACTCCCGCCCGCCCAATCCCCAAAAGCAACGCTATTTCTTTCGACCAGCAACCCAAGTCCGCCCCACGCACCTACAATCAGGTCACAAAAGTGCGATGAGATCCATTCATGTTATCTCCATAAAAGGAAGGGCGGAGGTCGATCCATCAAGATGCTTCTTCCCCAGTTGGTTTCTTCAGCTGGTCTGACATTCAGCGCTAAACAAGAAATGCACACTCATTTTTTCCTAAACAAAGTTTTTCTCTCTCTGCCTCTCTTTCTTTCTTTCTCCTTCTCTCTTTCAATCTTTCTCTTTGTCTCTCGTTTTCTCTCTCTCTCTCTCTCTATTTCTCTCTCGCTCTCTCCCGCTCTCTCTCTCTCTCTCTCTCTATCTCTCTTTCCTCTCAGGGGCATGCATTTGTTTTCCGAATTGCTAAGGCCCCCTGAATATCGGCCGGCTTTTGCGGTTTCTCTCTGTGTCCGCGTTAGCGTTTCCATTTTTCTGTCCGACGAGCTCACTCAGGAATCTGATGGTATGCCTTTGCGGGCAGAAGCGGCTTTGGCTGTACGCCCCGGGCGATGCGAGATATGTCTACCCCATCTCCAAGGACAGCATTTAGCCCAGTTGCCCAGTGGCGCCATCCCCGCTACCTTAAGAATAAAATTGTGGCGCCCTTTTTTTCTTTTTTTTGGGGAAGAGTCCCCCTTCAAAGTCAACCAACCAAAAAAAGGATACACTTTTTTTCCCCATGGCCACTGGGCATCTGAGTTAGTGTAGAGAGCGGTTTGGCTGTGGTTTTTGTGGATCCACCCCTGTTTCACCAGAGCACTACCCTCCCTCCAATCACAGAAGCTGACAACTTTTTCAAGACTACTTTCCTTTTGGGGAAGGTTTGGCGGATAGAGGTTAAGAGAGTACTACAGGCACCATGAGCCGAAACTATGATTGAGACCATTTTTTCTGGTTATATACAGTGGCAAACATGGTTTTGTCCACCCACCGTAGTTTTGAAACACCGGTTGCAACTTTTCGGGAATGAACCGGGTTGGCACGATGCCCAATATTCCATCTTCCGAGCAGACTTCAGGCGATGGAAACCTGAGATTAAGGTCACCTGGTGTCGGCCTATGCTTCTAGTGTGAGACCTGGTCTAAATGGTTTTCGTCCATCCACCATAGGTCCATCAAGGTGTTTTAAAGATTGCCACCGTAGGTTTCTTTTTGGGGTCCCGGGATCACTGCAAGCCAATTCTCTTGGCCGATGGCAACACGTGGCTGGAGCTCTGCCACTTGTGCAGTTGCCGAGGGCTAGAGAACAAGGACACCTGTCAACAGGAAGAGCTAGAGAAACCAGCCGGGTGCATCCAGCAATAGGTCAAACTGTGCAAGTTTTGCTTAAACCGCCGGCCACTTGCTCCCTAGGGAAAGTAAAGGGAGGTTCCTTTAACTCCAGATGTGTCACAAGGGGCCGGCGTGTCGCTGAAAACAGGGACCGTTTTGGGGGGAAGCTGCTGACTTTTGGATCTCGGGGTTGCGTCAACTTGCCTTGATTTACCAGGTCCGCTGGACCGCTAAAATGGTTGGTGTCCTTTTGGCTTCCGTCCAACCACAAGGGGTCCAGAATTCATTTTGAGAAGCTCCCAGGTTGGAGCTATGCTTGCAGGACCGCGGTTCGAGCACAGACTTTTCGCGGTCCTCCATCCTGCCCTTCCGGCGCTTCGGGGATGCTCGGCGGGTCGAATACACCAAACCCCCAACAAGGTCAGGGGCCCGGGAGAATTGCGAAAGCAGCCAGGAATTGTCAACTGGTTTACAGTGGTTGGGGCTCGAAAGTTACCTCTGAAAACACACCGCAAGACACCGGTGCAGCTTATTATGTCTATCTTGGCCAAAGGAGTTTGTTTTTGGGACTTACTGGGGGTGTGAACCAGATGACGCAAGACCACAGCTTCATCATTTGACACTTACTTTCAGCTGCAAAGGGTCCATACAGAGACCTTTTCAAGGTGTTCTAATTGATAGGGGTTCCGATTGCCACCAAAGGTTTGTAGCATTCAGCAGGAGCCCAGTTGTTAGAACCCATTCAACGGGTAAAAGATCAGATAAGAGCGAGTGACCTGTACTTCTACTATGGCCACACCCTTTCGATGGAACCTGACTGGACAGGATTTTTGTGTGAAGTTCTGGTTGATAGTTGAATGCGGGAGGTGCAACTCACCTGGAATCCAAGCCCCATGAAGCCAGGCAGCATCATCTGAGCTGGTTGCTAGTTGTTTTTCTTCCTTTAAACTAAAGGGACACCACCATTTGCAAGGCAATGTTCATGTGTGTAATGTAGGGATCCTTGCTGGTTGATAGGTTTTTCGGACTCTTGGCCACGCTGTGGAGGGTTCATATCATTGCTCGACGGGCCTGACGGGCCCGAACAGTGAAAGGGACATTGGCCAGTCCATTCAAAACCCATACCTGGGTATGGCCTGACACACAGAGTTTTGTGATCCACACGGGCGTACCTTTTTTGGAGTTGGTACCCCTCTTTCGGCTGGTGGCTTTAAAGGGAAACCACAGGAAACCGTTGCGCCATTTTAAGGGGTACCAAACAAATGACGACATTGACCAAACAAATGGGACAATTTGACCTTGGGCTTTCCAAGAGACCAAAAGTTCAAAGGGAACGCCGTCATTTTCAGGGGTCCAGCCTCATAGCCACGGGAAAATGAATGTCTTGCGGCGTTGTAAGGGGTCCAACCCCCCAAAACTGGGCAGACCCACGCGAGGCGGGTAGATGAAGGTTCGTAAGGGGCAGTCCCAACCAGAAATAGTTGCGGATATCCGCCTTCTTTTGGTTCTGGGATTACGACCATTGTGACCCCACGTGGAACCCCAAAAACTGCTGGGCGGGGCCCCGCCCTCCCAAAAATGGGCAGACCCCAGATCAAATTAACCATTCCTAGTGGGGTGGGGCCACCCAAACCCATGTTGAACGTTGCCATCTTGAAATGCCCAGCAAGCCTGGCTGGTTCCCCTTGCTGTCTTTGTGTCTCATGTCAGTTTTCACTCCAGGTGGCGCACACAAACCACCCACCTGGAGCCCCAAAAACTTATTTCTGGGCCCCGCCCTCCCAAAAATGGGGGCCCCGCCCCGCGTCGCGTGGTTTTTCTCTTTGGATCGCCCGCTCTGCAACCCCTGGCGGCCGAAAGCCGCCGAAATTCGCCCAGGAGCTGAGCCCCAAGGACCAGGCCCGGTACCCGCTGCTCAGCGCCGCCGCGCCGCTGGAGATCCAGGCCTCGGGCCGGGTCCTTCGGGTTTTTTTTTGCTCGGAAGAAGCGGCGGCGTTTTGTTGGGGCCTTTGGGGGCGCCCAACAACGAAAAAACGCAGAGAAAAAGCACGAGGCCGGAACTCGATGGGAAGATCCAGGTGTGTTTTCTTGGCTAGACCAACTCCGTGTTTGATTTTTCCGGTCTAAGTCTCGGCCCGAGACCTGCCAGTGGTAGACTTGCTTCCAACCGAAGCTCGGGTGCTGGGTTGCCATGCCTCCGAACTGGATCGTGAACCTCGTGCCCTTGGAGGGTGCCTTCACTGGGGTGCTCTACATCAGCGACGTGCACAAGGGCACCTTCGTCCTGGCGTTCGAGAAGTCCGTCGGCAGGTCCGTTTGGTTGCCCAACACCTTTCCCAGTGGGCGGCTCATCACTGTGTACAACTTTGTGGCTAGCCAGTCGTCAGATGGCTCGGCATATGTGCTGCCCCTGGAGCACTCAAAATGGTTTGCACACGAGCCCCTCGGCATCGAGAACTTCCAGCACATCAAGGAGGTTTGCTCTGGAATGGGAGGCCTCGGACTAGGAGCCTCACAAGCTGGCATCAAGCCAGTAGCCTACTTGGACAAGTGCAAGCTGGCATGCGACGCCCTCAAGCTGAACGGCGCCACCAACGTGATCCAGGGCGACCTGCGCCAGACTCAGGACATCGCAAAGCTTCATGAAGCCAGCGAGCATCGACGAACAGTACTTGGAGCTGGATTCCCGTGCCAGCCCTATAGCTCGCAAGGAGACCAGAGAGGCCAGAACGATCCTCGTGCTCTGGTCTTCTTAGCCACCTTGCAGGCAGCCTGGCTCACGCAGGCATCTTCACTCATCCTTGAATGTGTCCCGGGAGTCCAGAGCCACAGCTTCATCAAGGAGAACCTCAACTACCTGGCGGACCTCATGCGCTACCAGGTGAAGACGATCGTGCTGTCTCTTCAGGATCAATGGCCGTGCAATCGAGTCAGATGGTGGGCCATCCTCGCCCCGAAGGAGTTCGACTTGACAGCCTTTGAGGCCTGGCCCAAGGACACCAGCTACAGCACCATCCAACACATCATCCCTGATTGGCCGTTGTGGGAACCACAGGAAGAGCAGCTCCTCCAACTCGATCAGGAGGAGATCACCTACTACACCGACCTCAACTTCGGCCAAGAAGAACGATTGCTACAACAAACCGGCACATGCCCTACCTTGTTGCACTCCTACGGCAACGTTCTTCGCAAATGCCCATGTGGATGCAGGCAAGCTGCCTTCAGTCTGGAGCGTCTCCAAAGAGGAGGTGTGCGAGGTTGCTACATCATCTCGCAGGTCACAGGAAAGCCGCGCTTTCTTCATACGTCAGAGGCAGCAATCCTCTGCACCATCCCGGTCACGTACAAATTTCCAGGCGACGCACGAGCTGGTCTGGCGCTCATCGGACAAGTGGCTGCTCCACTGCAAGCACAATGGGTATGTCTCCATCTTGTGCGAGCCGTACAAACCCACTTTGGGTGGGAACCCCTTTGTCAACCACTTGAGCTCACCAAGAAAGCCAAGCAGGATCTCCTCTGGCAGAGGTACCACCACTGGGTCACCAACGACTCCCACGCCACCCGTCATGTCTGGATCCAGCACAGCGATGGAACCAACATCTATCTCCTTCGAGAAGGGCATCAGACCGTAGGTGAACTCCTTCAAGCTGAAGCCTGTCTTGCTGAGCTACCTCACAACTCCAGCTCTGGGATGGACATCGGCCAGTCCCGACAGATGCTGTACTACAGGATCAAGGACTCCACGGACCGTACACGCTATGCTCTCCTACTACGACCTTCCCCTCACCAAGCACCCAGGACATTGAGGTCACCTTCCACGTTGGAGCTACCACCACTACTGCCACATTCCAAGCTGGAACCTTCCTTTTCCAGGCCTGCCACCTTGCACACATCCACCCCGTCGACACTCCCCCGATTGACCTCAGGGGAGATCCTCTCCGCCTTGATCTTCGACTGTGGCTCAACTCCACCATTGTTTGCAGATGCCCCTTCATCGCCGGCGGCTCCACTGAACTCGGACTCAGCGATCAACAGATCAGCAAAGAGCTCCTCCGCATAGCCCGCATCCACGGCGAAGTTGGCGGGCCACCATACCAATGTCCCGCACCCATCCTCATCCACGGCCATGTCGACAAAGGCCTTGCTCTTGCACCCCAGGCACTCACTGCGCTCGCAGAGTACGACCCCAACACACTCACCACCATCATATTTGCCTATGACGGTCATTGGGCACTCCTCGTCACCGAGCCTACCGAGACCGGCTTCATCGCCTCGATCTTCGATGGGCTACCATACAGAGCGCATACTGGAGGACATTTTCTGGCCAAATCCATTGCTGACCAATGGAACAAGCAATGCGAAAGCATCTTTTCCCACACACACTACCACCAGCACGACAACTACTCCTGTGGCACAATTGCCCTGGCACATCTTGGTGACATCCTTGACCTCTGGCCTACCTGCAGCACCAGCGACATAAGCACCTGGCACAACCGCCTTGCAACCAACGACCACCTCCTGACACACCAGCACACAGCAACAGGCCCTCACAATGAGGATGACACCTTCAAACAGCTCAGGACCACTCTCATCGACAAAGGCGTGCCTGCAGACTGTGTCGACGAGAGATGCAATCACGCCCTCAAAAAGCTCGGAGCCAGCCACATTGCTGAAGCACTCGCCTCCAAACATGCATGGAGTGCTCTCAAAGCACTCGGCTCAAAACCAAGCAGTCCCTTTCAATGGCTCAGATCTCAAGAGCTCCAGCAGAAAATCCAGCTAAAAGCTGCCACCCAATACGGCATCAGCCAGTCCAACCGGAAGAAGGACAAGGGCAAACCTGCCAACTCATCGGCCAACAAGCCCGAATGTCAGATCGCACCCACTGAGCTTCAGCTCGTACCCGGCACATTCACAAGCGAGGATGGCATTCCAATCGACTCCCTTCCCATTCACAACCTTGGCAAAGGCAGCACCGGCCTAGCATTTGCCACCGTCGGGGAAGCAGCGCCCTACCTAAAGGAGGGCGTCCAACTCAGCACCGGCCCGCTTGCCATCCTGACAACAACATGCATCCCACACGCCCTTCGAGGACAGCTGCCAGTTGAAGACCTCATGTACCCGGCCAAGCATACCACAACTCAGGAACCGATCCTGATCCACGGCAGCCTCATTCAGCTCGGCCAAGTCCTCATCACACGCCCTGTCCGCAACAAGCTCCCAGACGTCGCACCGATCGACACCTGCACGATCAAGCTTGCCGTCTACCAGGACCAATGGCCTGGACAATGGTCAACCTTTGGAGACGGCCCAATGAAGCAGGTCATGCTCTCCTTCCCGGTCATGACCCTGTGCCGTTCTGCTGGGTGTGGAGACACTTGCCCCAAATTCCACCCCCCTGTCGACGAGGATCACATCACCAACGTCATCCTCGACATCTGGGGCAGACAATGGGTCAGCGCTCAAGGAGCTCGAGTGCCCCGAGAAAAGGCCAACTGCTGGACCGCTCTGGTCAGGATCCCCAAGATCGCCTTCAACAACCTCATCAACCTCTCCGGCTCCGATGGTCTCTTCATCGACCCAAGGGACTCCACAGGACGCTATCCGGATGACCAGTTTGGAGTAGTCTGGCTTCCAGGAGCCACACTCACCTCCATACTCCACAAGCACCGCACCACTGAAGGATCTACCTCCATCGCTCGACTCAACGACCGCTTTGGACTGCGATTTCCTACTGATCGACTTCCCCAAGCACACCAAGCTCTTCGGCCGGATGAGCCCTATTTGCAGATCAAGGTCGTTGACATCTACAAGGTGTTCCCACTCCCACACGGCACACAGCGCCAGGGCCTCGCTAAATCCCTTGCCGCCTGGAAGTGGAAGGCCAAGCCACTGCAGCCCTGCAAAGGAGACCAGCATGGCATTGGTTGGGAGGTTGGCGCTGAGACCCCCCCACCTTCCGACATTCTCCAAGGAGCTCACGGGGACGTCCTAGTCACCAAGCTACGCTCACTCAAGCCTGAGACAGCCAGCCCCGCCTTGGTCGCCTTTGACCGCACTCAGAAGTACCTGCACAGCCACCATGAGCCCGTCAAGGCCACGCATGATCCCTGGCAAGCAGGACAAGATCCGTGGTCTCAATGGTTCCACCAACACCCTGCCGAAGGACAAGCCACCAGCTCCAAACCAGCAGCAGATCGACTTCAACAAGCCGAAGAACGAATCAAGGCCGACGTCACAGCCTCGCTCCAAAAGCAGCTTGACCAATGGCAACCCCCGAACTCTTGGGACGAGGACCAGACCATGGCTGACGATACCCACAAATTCGAATCCAGATTTCAGCACCTCGAGTCCAGCGTTGCTGAACTTCGACAGCAAAACTACAAGTTTGAGCAGTGGTTTGGTGAAGCAGCAGAGGCCAACGCGGCCACAAACCATCAGATCAATGCAATTGCCAAGGAGGTCCACACTCAGCAGGCCGAATTGAGCAACCTCAACAAGTCTGTCAGCGACCACAACGCTGAGATCCGCAGAGAGATGTCGGCAGGCTTCAGCAACATTGAGGCCCTGCTCAGCAAGAAGCACCGCACAGATTGACTAGGTCGCCCCGGGCTTGAGTCCCCAGCTACTCGAGCGCCAAAGCGAACCAACCTAGGCTGGAACTTCTTTATCTTCATCCCCAGGTGGCTCATCTGGGCTGCCCTCATCTCTGCTGTTCATGGTAGTGATGCCCCCGGGACACTGCCAACTTCGACCACCCCGTGGAAGTGCACAGACTTCTGCGACTTCAAAGGGCCTCCTACCCACCAAGCACTTGTCTTCAGCATGTGGGATGCTGACCACTTCTTCTTGGGCAGGACCACCCTACGACCAATGCTCTCTTCGTCAACCCGGCTAGGCACCCCCTGCGCCTACCACAACCTCGTCTCGGAGGTCAGCTTCGA